GACATATAGAAAATAGAAGGCAAACTTTAAGACATAAATTTAGGCATATCAATAATGTTAGATGCTTCAGTGGAACACCCAGCCTGTTGGACATGGCCAAGTCTTGCTTAATCCTGGTGACAGTAACACTAAAACAGACTGATACTGCAAGTTTTGATCATAAATAAATTGAGAAAGAATTCCAAAAAGCAAAAGTGCTAGTGAATGTTGATGACTCAGGCTTGTAATCCTAGCTACTCAGAAGGCTGAAATCTGAAGATTGCAGTTTGAAGCCAGCCTGGGCCCTGACTTCAAGCCCTAGTACCACCACCCACACACCATAAAAAGATAAAAAGCCAAGTGATGGTTACTCATGGAGTCAGAAAAACACCTGCCTTAAGAAACCTTATCTATAGCATTATTCTGTAGTATTTTCTATGTAAGGTTTAGGCTTAACAATGGGCAACCCAAAGCTGAATGGACTATTTCTATGTATAAATTCTTGGGCAAAATTATCAGAAGATTCAGAAGATAAAGTTAGGTATGTCATTTGCAAATAAAGAAAACCACATTGACACAATTGCCTTGAGCCAGGTATGTTGGCAGACACCTGTGATTCAATTGAAAACACAAATCAAAACCACAATAACTTATCGCCAGAATGATTATAATTAAAAAGGGAAATGATAACAAATGTTGGCAAAGATTTCAAGAAATTGGAACCTGCACACATTGCTAATGGGAGTGTAAAATTGGGCAACTACATAAAAGAAAAACACACTCAGTCAAATGTAGAGTTACCATATGATTTAGAAACTGTACTCCTAGGTTTATAACTAATAAGTGAAATTATGTCTGTAAAAAACTTGGTACATGACTATTCATAGTAGCATTTCTAGTGACAGCTTAAAAAGTGAAAACAAATGTTTACTTAAATAAAATATGGTAATATTCATACAATAAATGTTATTTGAGCCAGAATATGTAGCACACACCTACATTCCAGAGGCTAAAGCAAGGAAGATAATGAGCTTAAGGCCAACCATTGAGTACCTGTCTGAGAGAAGTGGGGGGAGAGAGGAACGGGTGAGAGAAAACCATTTACAAGGTCCTGGATCCAATCTCTAGCACACCCACCCCACCCCACCCCCACACACATATCATCTCATTAGACTCAGAAAAGATATTGGACAGTATTCAACATCCTTGCATGATAAAGACACTTCAAATTAGGAATATAAGGGAACTTCTTCAACCTGATAAAAAAATATGTATGAATAACCCACTGACAACACTTTTACTAAATGCTAAAAGACAGAAAAATATCCCCTCATCTCAGTCAGGAACAAAGCACCTCTTCTATTTCAGCAATTCCCAGGAGGTTCTAGCCAACAAAGTTATCTTTATGCAGGTGACATAACCATATATGCAGAAAATCCTAGAGATTTCACTAAACGCCTCATACCATATACAAAAATTAAATGGCCAGAGATCCAAATATATGAGTTATAATTACAAGTCCTTTAGAAGAAACCATTATGTATTTATATTTGTGACTTTGGCTTGAGTAATGTTTTATGAATGATACCTGCTGTACAGTCAGACATGTAAGATGAAATTAAAAGATTATACACTGTCAGTATTACTGTCCTAAATGTAAATAGCCAATCCATAGAATGATAGGAGGTGTTCACAAACCATATAGCTGATTCAGGTCTTATATCGAAAATGTATCAAGAACTTTTAAAACTCAGCAATAAAGACAGTTTTTAAATGAATAAATCAATAAGCATACGAAAGGCATTTGGTGTCATTTGTATCAGGAGATGTAAATGAAAACAGTGAGATTCTATTTCATACCCACTGAATGACTATCCAGAAAGAGATAATAAGTATTGGCAAGAATGTAGAGAAATTGGAAGCCTCATATATTGTTAGTGGGACAGGAAAATGCTGCAAGTGCTTTGGTTAAATAAATAGAGAAGTACCATGTGATTCAATAATCACATTATTAGATCTGTCTATCCAAGAGTTACAAAAACATGTCCATGCAAATAACTTGAATGGAGCTGTTCATACAATGGAATTCATAATAGCTCCTTAGTGGAAAAACTCACATGTCTCTAAATGGATGAATAAAATGAATATTCATATAATGTAATGTTATTCAGCCATAAATATAAATTAAGTAATGACCCATGCCACAATCTGAACTTTGAAAATACTATGCCAAGTTAAAAAAGCCAGTCATAAGCAATGACATTATTTCATTTATGTTCAGAATTGACAAAACTAGAAAGGCAGAAAATATATTAGTGGTTGCCTAGGTTTTGAGGAACAGGTTGAAATGTTTCTGGGGTCCTAATAAAGTAATGGGATTTGTTTGTGGTAATAACATGTTCTAAAATTGACTAAGATGTTGGTTATGTCAAATCATAACATGATGAAATCCATTGAATCATACTTGAAAAGAGTGAATTACATTGTATGTGAGGTATAGCTCAACAAAAGTTAAAAGACAGATAGAAAGGAAGCATGTCTGTAAACTGATACGTTTACAAGAATGTATTAAACTGCAAAAATGTGTATACTCCACATTGAAACAGGTCCTCATTTATTCACTTACATATTCCCACTGGCTGAAAGCAATTGGCATCTGGTCAATAATAATATTTAATTACTTTAATGAGAATAAATGCAAAACCTGACTTTCAAAAATTCAAGACAGAAAAGCATCAAAAATTACTCCAGATTTTTGAGTGACTAGAAGCCAGAGGCTGCACCAAAATTTTTAAGTATTGGATTTGATTCTGAGAGAACAATCTTGGGGGTGGAGAATTCTAAATACTATTGGATAATGTTAGTAGAATTTAAAAGAGAGCTAGGACTAAAATTTGTTATTGGGGAATTGTCTCGAACAGATGTGAAAAAATGAAACCAGAGAAGTTAAGGCAATTATAGAGATGGAAACTATATAGGAAAAGAAAGAAAAGAAGAGAATTTCTTTTCTTCATGTATAATAAAATGTCTTGAAGACAATGAAATTTGTAAGATGGACAAAGAAATTAGGATGTACTGAAAAGCTACTGGAAATGCCAATAATACTTGAGAGAGAAGCCAGGGAGGTTAAGAGACTGGATAAAGACCACAGAAATTAATGAGGAAAAGAGTTCAGGACAGTGAAGTATGACAACTGAAAGCACTGCTGAGACCTCCCTTTCAAGAATTTTGGTGATGGGGCTGGGAAGGTGGCTCAGTGGTAGAGTGCTTGCCTTGCATGCATGAGGCCCTGGGTTTGATTCCTCAGCACCACATACACAGAAAAAGCAGGAAGTGGCGCTGTGGCTCAAGTGGTAGAGCTCAAGCCTTGAGCTGAAGAGCTGAGGGACAATGCCCTGGCCCAGAGTTCAGGCCCCACGACCAACCAAAAAAATAAATAAAGGATTAGGGGCTGGGAAGGTAGCTCAGTGGTAGAGTGCTTGCCTTACATGCATGAGGACCTGTGTTCTCTTCCTCAACACCACATAAGCAGAAAAGGTCAGAACTGCCGCTGTGGCTCAAGTGGTAGAGCTCAAGCCTTGAGCTGAAGAACTAAGGAACAGCACCCAGGCCCAGAGTTCAGGTCCCACAACCAACAAAAAAAAGAATTTTGGTTGATGAACAGTGTTGCGTTTTCACTTGTCACAAGAGTTGTTTAGTCCCCTGGCTGTATTTAAGTCCTTTGGCTTCTCATCTCAATAAATATCGTGTTATATTACAATTATATGGTATTTTTATTATAATTATAGTGTGTATTTTCCAATAGTCATTGTAAGACTACTCACCATGTTGTAGCATTCTCTATATCCAAGAAACCTAGCACAGTGCCTAGTGTATGAATATTTGTGGGCTAAATGAAATAAGTGTTCGTGGTTGCTGGCTGCACCATCCAGATTGGATAAGGAAGAAAGGAAACCAGGAGTTTGGTGGACTAATAAGAGAGGGAAATGACCAAGATATCAAAGCAAGTTAAACATGCTCTTGCACCTGCCAACTGGACTATCACAGTTTAAAAGGAGGAAGGGTTACAAGGATTGATTAGATTGTTTTCATTCCCATACCAGTACCAGGGAAAGATCTAGAAACTATCAAATCATTTAAGTCAAAAAAATCTGTGCTCAATTGAAGTAGATAACCATTGTTAATCTCTGTGCAGAGAGGATATATTCATTAATACCTGGATTTGTTCAGAATGAAAAAGCCTCTGTCTGTAATTTTATAGGTGATTGGCTGTAGGACGGGCTTTCACCTTTTGCCAACTACTTGGTTGTGTGATTAATGTGCCGAGGAGAAAAAGAGTATGAATATGTTGATCAGAAGACCTGAGTTCCAGCTCTGTCAATAGATACCTATATGGAAGAGACTGAATTAAATTAAATTATCTTGATAAAGTTCCTTCCAGATTTTACTTTCTGATATTTTTTTCTTTCTGGTGATTGAAGTCAGGGCTTCTCAATTTGTAAACAAGTGTTCTTCCATTGCAAACATGCCCCCAGGTTCTTTTTTTTCACTTAGGTGCTTTCAGATGAGTATCCCACTTATGTCTAAGCAAGCCTTGAACCTTGATCTTCCTACCTCTGCCTCCTGAGTAACTGGGACTATAGATGTGCACAGCATGCCTTTTTGACATAATATCTCACTTTTTGCCTGACCAATCCTCAAATCGTGGCCATCTTATCTTCTGCCTTCTGAGTAGCTGGGATTACAGGCATATACAACCACCCCAACATTATTTCTGATAGTTGCCTTAAGACTAAGACCTCAAGATTTTGACCACAGAGTGTTAAGCTGAAGGAATGCCTTTCCTTCACATAAAAGCATGATTTCTAGAACTATCAGTTCTTAGCTATCATAAGGAAAGATGAAAGCAACTCACAATATTCTATCTGGCCTTACATATTAACAATGCCTTAAAAGACTTCTTAGTTATAAGACTTTATTTCAGCTAGCTGACATTAAGATGTAACTTCTTTTCTTATCAGGACCGTAAGAGGCAATACGAGCTGCTCAAACTGGAAAGAAACTTTCAGAAACAGTCCAATGTACTTAGACGTAAAACTGAGGAGGTGGGTAAGAAAATCCTGTCTTTTAGGCCAAATGCATCATCATCTTCAGGCTTAGAGGAAGACAACATTATAGCACTTTAAAGAACTAGTGTTCTAAGGAAAACAGGAGTAGCAAACTAGACTAGTAATTCTTAAATCTTGTTCTATTCAAGTTACAAACTGAGCAGATGATACCCAGATGGAAATCTTACAATTTTTAACTCTGGAATTTTTTTTCCTCATTAGACTTCTTTCCAAATACCACACTGTAATATTGCTATGACATTTCCAGACATTTTTAATCTGTAGAACTACTTTGAAATGAAATGGACATTCCTCTATCCTCTAAAACAGTAGCTACTCACCAGTTACTGTCTTTGGAGATTTAAAAACTTCATGTTGTAGGAGGTCAAACCTAGAATTTTTTTCTTCATTAATACACTGAATTAGAATGTTCATCTTATTACCCTCAGTCAGCATTTACCATGTGCCACTTCGATTTAGGCAGCAGCTGCCAACAAGCGCCTCAAGGATGCTCTTCAAAAGCAACGGGAGGTCTCAGATAAACGGAAGGAGACTCAGAGCCGTGGAATGGAAGGCACTGCAGCTCGAATAAAGGTACAGACAGCTCGAGCTTGGAGCCATTCCTCTTAAGTACACGGAATGGGAAAAAATGGGAAATAACTTGCTTTGGGCTTAGAAGTAAACACTACAGAATTTGAAGTTCTACCTAAAAGCTTTATATCCTTTGAAGATACAAATATCTGCCCTTATTGAGGTTTAGTTACTTTTTTAAGAGTTTTCCTGGGGTATGATTGACGTTCAGGTGTACAGTTTGATGAATTTTAACACTGGTATGTACTCGTCATAATCAATTGAGAATGTTCATCATTGCCCAACACTTGCTTTGTAATCACTATTTTACCCCCTCTTCCCTATATCTTTATTTTGCCCCTTCCAGCACCATAGTGGTCCCCTTTTTACTTTTATGACCTTGGTTTGTTTTGTCTTGTCATGGCTTCCACAAATAGAGAAAAACTCATGACACTGTCTTTGTGGGATTGCCTTACCTCACTTAAAATAAGATCTCCAATTCCATCCATTTCCAGTAAACAGCATAATAGCATTCTTCTTAATAATTGAGTAAGGGGCTGGGAAGGTGGCTCAGTGGTAGAGTGCTTGCCTTGCATGCATGAGGCCCTGCGTTCTATTCCTCAGCACGACATAAGCAGAAAAAGCCAGTAGTGGCACTCTGGCTCAAGTGGTAGAGCACTAGCCTTGAGCTGAAGAGCTGAGGGACAGTGCCTAGGCCCAGAGTTCAGGCCCCACGACTGACAATAATAATAATAATATTAGAGTAAAATTCTATGTTTATATACCCACGTTTTCTTTACCTATGCATCGACTGATGGGCACCTAAGCTGATTCAGTAATTTGGCTATTGTGAATAGTGCTGCTATAAACATGAGTATACAGACAGGTACCTACCAAGCCATCTTTCACTCTTTTGGGTACTACCCCAAAAATGGTAGGCTGAATCTTGCAGGAGTTCGAATTTTAATTTTTTGAGGACCCTCCATACTGATTTCTATAGTGGCTACACTAATTTACATTCTCACCAGATTGATTAATAAGAGTCCTCTTCTGTTCACTATCTTTACTAGCTATTCTGCCTAGAGTGAGATGGACTATCAATTTAGTTTTGCATTTCCCTGATGGCTGAGGATGTTGAAATATTTTCATATGCTTATTGGCCATTTGAAGCCTATTGATCCAGTTCATTTGTCCATTTGTTGATTGGGTTGTTTGCTCTTTATTTTTTGGAGCTTTTTAGATATTGAGGATATGCATCTTGTTAGATGAATTGTCTCTTGCAACAACTTTTTTCCAATACTGCCAACTGTCTCTGCACTCATTTGATTGTTTCGCTTATGCAGAATCTTTTTAATTTGATAGGATCCCATTTCTCCATTCTGGTTCTTATTTCCTAGGCAGTTAGGGTCCTATGTTCAAGGAAAACTGGATAGTGGAAAGTTTTCACCCATGTTCAGAGAACTGTGTCTGATTCCCAGCACCAATCAGAGAGAAGTAAACCAGCTAGAGTGCCTTATAGTTCCTAATGTGCAGGATGCTACTATTAGGTGTGCCGATGGCAGTGCCAATCAAGGATCCACTTTGGCCTTCAGGGCTGCACACATTTTAGAAACTTCCCTTCTTTAGTATCATTAGCCACTGCTGGCTGCAAGGAGCTTTCCAGCCTGTAGAATGGGGACAGATGTGTACTCACTCCACAACTTCCCTGACATTGTGTCCCACAGAAGCAACTTGGATACTTGCCTTGGAGAAAGCAAAGCAAACTGTGTTCTGTACTAGAGGGAGAAAAAGGAACAAATGAGGCGCTCTGCCTGCCAGTCTTGCAGCTTTCAGACCCTACCCAGCACTAAATGACCCTGTAAGAGGGACCTGGCTTTGGAAATTGAGTAGTCCGCAGTTCTTGGGCTCAGCTGTCTTGGTCCTGTCTAGCAACAAACCACACATCCTGAAAGCAGCATTCAGAATTCAAACAATCTGCCTGTCAGGAGTCCAAAGTTGTTTCTATAGCAATAATCCTCAGATGACAGGACTCCCTCCTTGCCACTGAGAGTAGGGCCACTGAACACTCCACCCCTCTTTGCCTATGCTCCATACTGCTTAATTTTCTCTGAGCATCCATATCAGATCACCCCACCCTGTGATCACCTCTCATGCCCAGGTTCCCTTAGCTGCTTGTTTCTTTTGTGGGAGTTAACAGTTGCCAAAGTTACCAGAGTTACTCAGTCTCAAACAATAGGCCCCCTCTCAAAATAGTGCCTAGCTATACCTCTCTGTATATGGAAAAAATGGATTTCTTCTCCAATGCTATCTTGTCACATGGGACACCAAAAAGCTGCACTGGATCTAAGGCTTGTGGGAAGCTTGTGACTGTCGTGAAGCTAGTTCTGCTAGTCTGTTGTTCCCAGTATTGGAGCTAAAAACTGTTTCCTACTAAAAATTGTTTCTGTATCACCTGTTTCTCCATGCTTTTCAACTGTCTTTGTATCTTTGCTATGATTCTCAGTGCTCTTTCCTTTCTCTTTAGAATATAGTACCCTTGGCTGGGAAAGTGACTCAGTGGTAGAGCACTTGCCTTGCATGTATGAGGCCCTGGGTTCACTTCCTCAGCACTACATGAGCAGAAAAAGCTGGAAGTGGTGCTATGGCTCAAGTGGTAGAGCGCTAGCCTTGAGCTAAAAAACTGAGAGTGCACCCAGGCCCAGAGTTCAGACCCACGACAGACCAAAAAAAAAAAAGAATATAGTAACCTGACTGTTAAGTATGGAGTTACATAGAAAAAGCTTCAAATCTTCCATCTTACCTTGCCCTCCTGATCATTCTAATATTAACTTATTTCTGTCTTCATTTTTTAAAGTGTTTTTGGTTGCTTTGTTGTATGTATATGTGTATATCAGCAAAAATCTGGTGTGGAGGTGTGGCTCAAGTGGTGACTGCCAGCTGAGCAAGCATGAGGACTTGAGTTCAAACTCCAGTACTAATAAAAATGGAGGATGGAAACTGGAGGAATGGCTCAAGTGATAGAATACCAGCCATTAGCAAGACAGCTATGTAAGAGCATATGGTCCAGAGTTGAAACTCCAATACCAGCAGACAGAACAATTGGGTATCTAGATTGGATATGATGGTACACACCTGTAATCCCAGCTACTTGGTAGGTAGAGGCAGGAAAATTGAGGTTCCAGGCCAACATAGGCAAAAGTAAGACCCTAACTCAAAATAAAACTGGGAGTGATAGCACATACCTGTCATCACAGCTACTCTAGAGATAGAGATAAGAGTATCAGGTTTCGAGGCTAGTCCAAGCAAAAACCAGGAGAACCTGTCTGAAAATCTAAAAACAAGAGGCCTAGCTGGATGCCTGTGGCTCACACCTGTAATCCTAGCTACTCTGGAGGCCAGAGATCTGAGGATCATGGTTCAAAGCCAGCCCAGGCAAGAATGTCTGTGAGACTCTTATCAACAATTAACCACCAGGAAAAAAAACTGAAGTGGTGTTGTAGCTCAAGTGGTAGAGCACTAGCCTTGAGCTGAAGAGCTCAGGGACAGCACCCAGGCCAAGAGTTCAAGCCTGCAACCGACAAAAAAAAAAGGAAAGAAAAAAAGAGGACTGGGGTATGGCTCAATTGATAGAGCCAGACCCAGACTTCAACCACAGGACCACTAAAATATGGTTATCTTTAGTAAATAGAACAGACAATAGGAGTGTTTTTCAGTTGTATATCAGGATTAGTTAAAAGCAAAAGATGTTAAGGAAAAAAAGGAGGAAGGGAAGACAATTCACTTAGAAATCGTAGCTATCTGGGGAAAAATTGTTTGTACAAAGCCTCTTTCTTGGGACCTTAGAGGATATTGTTGATAAAGGCTCAAGAGGTTCTGTCATTTTTAGTACTTGTAGGTACAAATGCCCCACTTCAAGTTACTTGGGCTCTGGTCCAAAGAAATTTAAGTCTGAAACTGACACTAATTCACGGACTAGTGATTTCCTTATCCCCAAACCAGGCACGTTTAATTTCTCTTCTAGAATTGGCTTGCAAATGAAATTGAGGTTATGGTCAGTACTGAGGAAGCTAGGCGCCATCTGAATGACCTTCTTGAAGATAGAAAGATTCTGGCTCAAGATGTGGCTCAACTCAAAGAGAAAAAAGAATCTGGGGAGAATCCACCTCCTAAACTCCGGGTAAGTGCCCTTAGGAGACATGTGAGCAATAATCCAGCCATGAATCCCTAGAAATCCTCACTCCTTTGAGGGAGCCTTTTCCTTTTCAAACTTGCCCCTCATGGACACTATTCTTCTTTACAGAGGCGCACATTCTCCCTTGATAAAGTCTGTGGTCAGCTTTCAGAGTCAGATGATTCTATTACAAAGCAGATTGAAACCCTGGAGACAGAAATGGAACTCAGGTAATGGGACTACCTGTCAGGCATAAAAATTGATGTATGAGGGGAGGTGGGAGGGCAGGGATGGTAAGGGGAAACAGAGGAGGAGGCAACAATGCTTGATAAGAAATGTACTCATTACCTTGCTCATGTAATTGTAACCCCTCTGTATGGTATTTTCACAATAAAAAAATCTTAATTAATAGAAATAATTGATGTATGAAATCAAAAATAGAATCTTTCAATCTAGTGATTGGAAAGCTTGTTGTTCACCCTGTGCCAGTGGCTCACGCCTATAATCCTAGCTCTTCAGGAGGCTGAGATCTGAGGATTATGGTCCAAAGGCAGCCAAGGCAGGAAAGTCCATGAATCTCTTATCTCCAGTTAACCAGTAAAAAGCCAGAAGTGGTGCTGTGGCTCAAGTGACAGCCTTGTGCAAAAAAAGCTCAGCAACAGTGCCCAAGCCCTGAGTTCAAGCTCTAGTACTGGCAAAAAAAAACAAAACTTTGTGATGATAGAAAAACAAAAAGCAACAGATGTTTTGAACCCGTAGATTGATAAACATGTCAGGTACATATTCTCATTTAGTCCTTCTGATACCCAATAAGGTATCATTTTTCTCACTTTCAAAATCTAAAATGAAGTTCGACATCTTAAGAAATTTGCAAAAATTATTAGCTAACAAAAAACAAAACCAGAATTCAAAACCCACTCTTACCTAATTCTAGAACCCTTAGTCTTTACAATATACTATGGTTTTATGTGGTAATATCTCCAAAATGTAGAAGAATAGAATTTTAAGAATGTTGGTTAACCCCTATAATCCTAGCACTGAGAGGCAAAGACTATAGGATCATAAGTTTGAGACAACTTGGACTATATAGGGAGACTCTGTTTCAAAAAAAAAAAAACAAGAAGGAAGAACTTCAGTGCTGGGGCTTAAGCTCAGGGCCTGGATGCTGTCCCTGAGCCTCTTTGTGTTCAAGGTTAGTACTCTACCACTTGAGCCACAGTGGCACTTCCAACTTTTTCTGAGTAGTTTATTAGAGGTAAGAGTCTCATGGACTTTCCTTCTTGGGCTGGCTTTGAACCGCAGTCCTCAGATCTCAGCTTCCTGAGTAGGTTTATAGGTGTGAGCCACCAGTACCTGTCTAAGAAATAAGAATTTTTATGTATGTGCTGGTACTGGTACTCAAGGCTCAGGCACTGTCCTTTAGCTTTTTGTTCAAGGATGGTACTCTACAAGTTGATTCACACTTCTGCTTCTGGCTTTTTGCTGGTTATTTGGAGATAAGAGTCTCATGGACTTTTGCTTCCTGGACTGACTTTGAACCATAATTCTCAGATCTCACACTCCTAAGTCACTAAGACTACAGATGTGAATCACCAGTACCTGAGTAAAGAACAGAATTTTAGCTGGGCATCAGTGGCTCATGCCTCTAGTCCTAGCTACTCAGGAGGCTGTGATCTGGGGATAGCAATTCAAGGCCAATCGGGGCAGGAAAGTCTGTGAGACTCTTATTTCAATTAACCACAAGAAAACTGGAAGTGAAGCTTGCCTTGAACTAAAGAACTCAAGTTCAATGCCTAGAGTTCAAGCTCCACAACTAACAAAAAAAAAAAAACAAGCTGTTGTGAGGAAAAACAGGTTTCACTGTTCAAGGTTCAAGTTTACCAGTCCTCTGTTTTCATGAAGCATCCTTTTTTGCTTGAGAGAACTGACAGATTTACTCAGATTTGATTGCATGGTAGATATGCTTTCAGAAATGAGCACAGTAAGCCTGTTGCTTTAAGGACAATAACTGATAAATACTTGTTACCAAAGGTAAAATTTGAGCTTTAAAACTAAACCAGAGGGCTGGGAAGGTGACTCAGTGGTAGAGTGCTTGCCTTGCATGCATGAGGCCCTGGGTTCGATTCTTCAGCACCACATAAGCAGAAAAAGCCGGAAGTGGCACTGTGGCTCAAGTGGTAGAGGGCTAACCTTGAGCTGAAGTGCTGAGGGACAGTGCCCAGGCCCAGAGTGCAGGCCCACAACAACAACAACAAAAAAAAACCCAAGATTTTGAAAACCTGTATTCCTTCCTCCCTGGGTAGAACAATAGTGATATTTCCAGATATGATTTTTTTCCTTGTGGTACTGGGGTGGAATACAGGGTCTTGTATCTGCTAAACAAGTGTTCTGTCACTGAGCTACATCCCTAGAACTATTTTTTAATATGCAATAAAATATGTTAACACTTCAAGGATCTGCAATATTCCATCAGTTGATAGTGTCAAAATCATATCATAGCTGTGCTCAGAAGGCAGCTAGGAAGACTGAGTTTTGAGGCCAGACCAGCCAGATAGTTAGAGAGCCTAGATCTCAAAAAAGTTAGATGTGGTGGCACATGCCTGTAATCCCAGCTATACGAAAGGCATAAATATGAGGATCATAGTGCAAGGCCAGCTCTTGGAAAACACTTGAGATGCTATTCAAAAATTAACTAAAGCAAAAAGGGCTAGGGACTTGGCTTAAGTAGTAGAGCACCTTCCAAAAAAATTGACATATTAGATAATCATGTATGAGTAAAAGATCCATTCAGATTGCAAGATAAACCATAGGAGTTTTTCTTTTTATTTATTTATTTGACTAAATAAAAGTTATATTTTATTACAATACAACTTTTATCCATTCACATTTAAGGCCGTTATGACACAATTAACAAGCGTGTAATAATTATCTATAGTGATAATTATCTATCTGAATAATTATCTGAGTAATTATCTATATTGATTGCTCATAATTTTTTAAGATAATTTTATTGTTATTGTTAAGATGTTGTACAGAGGAGTTACAGTTCCATAGGTTCAATTCTTCTTGGACATTGTCACTCCTTCCTTCACTTCCCCTCAGTTTCTTCTTCCCATCCCTGCCCACAAGTTGCATAGTTCATTTTTACAGTATATACTGAATACCATGACTGTATTCACCCTTCCTCCCTTCATTTGTATTCCCTTTCTGTGCTCCCTAAAGACAAAAAATAAACTAAAAAACAAGTCTGGGAATGTGGCTTAGTCGTAGTATACTTGCCTAGCATGCATGAGGTCCTGGGTTCAATTCCTCTGTGCCACATTCAATAAACAAAATTTTAAAAACAACAATAAAACAAAGGCATATCTCCTAGAATCGATTTTAATGAGTAGTATTTTAGATGTTCAGAGAAATTATAGTCAAAGAATACCTGTACCCTCCTTTAGTCTGTTCAAGTGTACATAAATACATAGAGCCCCGTATGAATTATCATGTCCAGTTGTATTTTAGATCTTTCTTCCACATTCATATTTTTAAAAAATTTCAGAGCTGGGCGCTGGTGGCTCATGCCTAGAATTCTAGCTACTCAGGAGGCTGAGATCTGAGGATCATGGTTCAAAGCCAGCCTGGGCAAGAAAGTCTGTGAAACTCTTATCTCCAATAAACCACCAGAAAACCGGAAGTAGCTCTGTAGCTCAAGTGGTAGAGCAGTAGCCTTGAGCTGAAGAGCTGAGGAACAGCGCCCAGGCCCAGAGTTCAAGCCCCATGACCAACAACAACAAAAATTTCTTCCCCATATTTGTCGTCATTCCTAGCTCTTAGCCATTAAAATCAAATTTTCTCTCAACGTCTGGGTTCTCTGCCAAAGACTGACTTGCAATGTCGTATGCTGTCTTAAATAGGAATCTTTATCTCAGCTCTGACCTCTTGGAACTTGAGTATGGGCTATATGATTGTGCCCTAGCCTAGCCAACTTATCTACTCCTTTACTTCTTGTTTCCCCACCCCTCACCTGCTATAAAGTAGTGGATTCAGGATTTCCCTGAAGACAATCAAGGACAGCCTAATCTTCAACTGTTTAATATATTTGTATAATGCTTCTAATTCAGACTTTGTCAAGAAATCTATCAAGCTGTGTCTGAGACTTTTTTACATATGCTTTAAACATACAATTCCCTACACATTTGGAAATGTTTTCCATACTAGAAATTAACAGGAAAAAAGCAATTCATCATAAAGGTTTTAATATAAATGAGCACAATAATTAATAATAATTTCAGTTGATCAGTGGTTAGTAAGTTACATTTAAATCAGAGTAAGAATGTCTTCCATGCTGTTATTATGCAGTAAAGTGACTATAAATAACACTAGTACACTGTATTTCAGAAAGCTAGAAGAAAGGATTTTACCATTAGGAATGTACAAATGTTTGAGGATGGAGATATGTTAAACCCAAACTAAAAATTATACTATGGCCAGGCACGGGTGACTCACACCTGTAATCCTACATACTCAGGAGGCTAAGATCTGAGGATCTCAGGTTGAAGCTAGCACTGGCAGGAAATTCTATGAAACTTACTACCAATTAACAACTAAAAAGCCAGAAGTGACCTGGGCGCTGGTGGCTCACACCTATAATCCTAGCTACTCAGGAGGCTGAGATCTGAGGATTGCCATTGGAAGGAAGCCAGCCTGAGCAAGAAAGGGCATGAGACTCTTATCTCCAACAAAAAATTTCGGCCTGAGCCAAGGAGACCTATGGTTTCTCCTATTCCATCCTGTAATGTTTTCAGAGTGTCTGCTTTGACTTCGAGGTCTTTGATCCATTTGCAGTTGATTCTGGAGCAGGGTGATAGATATACAAGGATCTAGCTTTAGTTTTCTACATGTAGTTAACCAATTTTGCCAGCACCATTTACTGAAGAGGCTGTCTTTCTTCCATTCTATTGTTTTAGCTCCCTTATCGAAGATTAGATGGCTATAGGTCTGAAGGTTCATTTCTGGGTTTTCAAATCTATGCTATTGGTCCTGAGGTCTGTTCTTATGCCAATACCAAGCTGTTTTGATTACTATGGCTTTGTAGTAGAGTTTGAAATTTGGTATTGATATTCCTCCAGCAGTGTTCTTTCCGTTGAGGAGCGTTTTTGCTATTCGGGGTCTTTTATTGTTCCATATGAATTTTTGGATTGCCTCTTCTATTTCCTTGAAGAATGAGGTAGGAATTTTGATAGGTATTGCGTTGAATTTGTAGATAGCCTTGGGAAGTATTGCCATTTTCACGATGTTGAGCATGGGAGGCTTTGCCATTTTTTTAGTTCTGTGTTGATTTCCTTTTTCAAGATTTTAAAGTTTTCATCATAGAGGTTCTTCACTTCTTTAGTTAAGTTAATTCCTAGGTATTTTGTTTTTTGTGGGGCTATTACAAATGGAGTTGCTTTCCTAACAAACCACTCAAAAACCAGAAGTGGCACTGTGGCTCAAAGTAGAGTGTTAGCCTTGAACAAATAAGCTCAGGGACAGTGCCAGGCCCTGAGTTCAAGCCCTAGGACTGGCACAAAAAATAAGTGGTGTGTGTGTGTGTGTGTGTGTGTGTGTGTGTGTGTGTGTGTGTGTGTGTGTGTGTGTGTGTGTGTTGAACCATTATATGGTTACCCTTTTTTATATTTTTATGTTTCAGTTAAAAGGTGTTTTTTGCTAGCACTGGAACTTGAACTCAGTGTATCTTGCTCTTGCTTAGCTTTTTCCAGTCATGACTTATATTTCTACCTCTTGTCATATCTCCACTTCCAGCTTTTTTCACACTTTCAGCTTTTTTTAATGCCAGTCCTGGGGCTTGAACTCAGACACTGAGCACTGTCCCAGAGCTTCTTTTTTTTTTTTTTTGCTCAAGGCTAGCACTCTACCACCTGAGCCAGCTTCACTTCTAGCCTTTTCTGTTTATGTGGTACTGAGGAATCAGACCCAGGGCTTCATGCATGCTAGGCAAGCACTCTCCACTAAGCCATATTCCAAGACCCTCACTTCCAGCTTTTTGATGGTTATTTGGACATAAAAATGTCAGCGATTTTTCTGCCCAGACTTGCTTCAAATCTTGATTCTCAGATCTCAATTTCCTGACTAGCTAGGCACAAGTCACTGGCACCTAGCAAGCAAGTTTAATTTTTAAAACAAAAGTCAAAAAATAGTAGACTCACATTCCATATTACAGCTTTTTGTTGTTGTTTTACACCTAAGTTTGAAGTAACAATCACTTGTTGAACTTTAGTAGAGGCTTAAAGAAAGAATATCCAAAAGTATAGAAAAAGTTCACTATTCTCTTCTATTTTCAAACTGTACATCCATATGTAATCAGATTGTTTTCATTTATATCAATCAGAATTGTCATAGAAGATCAAGTGCAGAGGGATATGTGAGAATCCACTATGTCTTCCACTATCAGACATAGAGATTCACACCAATTTCAACAAATTCTACTTTTCTTACTTTTGTCATAGAAAATGTAGTAATTTTTCATGTTTATGTGTTCAGTTTTAAATGAATATTTTTGTTTTGATTCATAACACTATAAATATAGGTATAATACATGTGAACAGAATTTCTTAAGAGGTCCTCAATAATTTCTTAAAATACGAACAGGTCCTGAGACCTCAAAACCTGAAAATTCATATTTTACTCGTGTGTGTGTGTGTGTGTGTGTGTCCGTGTGTGTGTGTGCATGTGTGTGTGTGTGTGTGTGTGTGTGTGTGTGTGTCCATACTGACTGGGGCTTCTTAAGGCCTCACACCTTCTCTTAGCTTTTTAGCTCAAAGCCTGTGACTCTGTCACTTGAGATACACCTCCACGTCTTTGTACCTGTAGGTACCTGGTATTCTCTCTGTCACTAGACACAGCAGATTTGAGGAAGAAGTTGTGAATGAAACTGAAATGTCATGTAGACTTTGATCTATGCCCTACTTGGTCAGAAAGCTCTGGAAACTATAAACAGGGTCAGACCATATGGTCTTAGAAACTTCTCATTACTGAGGCTAGCGCTTAATGGTAACTTTTCTCAGTACCAGCATCCACTTGTTTGTTCTTTAGAGATTATTTTTTCCTTGAATCTTACCCTTGCGTGGATGGGTCACTGTGTGCATCACATTGAATTTCTATGATTTCTACACAAGGTTTTATTACACTAAGTCTTATAACAAACATTTTCTGGTTTCACTGCATATGACCCATTCATTTCAACTAGTACTTTATAGAATAAAAAAATATATTGGATGATCTCTTCTTGCTCTTTGTAATGGGTTTTGAGATACTGAAAATTCTCACCAGATAACGCAGGCATGGTTATTTGACTGATATAACCATCCATAAAATACTTTGAAGTTTCAGAACCATCCATAAAATACTTCGAAGTTTCTGCTCAAAGCCCTTTGCCTCCTTGATATTGAGGCTACTCACAATAAGGTTTGCTGTTTTCTCCTTGAAGGAGTGCTCAGATTGCTGATCTCCAGCAAAAGCTCCTGGATGCAGAAAGTGAAGATGGTCCCAAACAACGCTGGGAGACTATTGCTACGATTCTGGAAGCCAAATGCGCCCTGAGATATTTAATTGGAGAGGTAAATATCATTCTTCCTCCCAACTGTCTGGGTAGGTTGAGATGAACTACCTTGGAATACTGTTACAGTGTCATTGCTTTTTTTTCATGATAGAATCCCAATGATGCTAACACTGGAGAGAGAATTTAATGATTAAAGGATGGTAATGAACAAATATGAGCTAGTCACTTAAAAATGTGTCATGCAACTGACAAATTGATACTCATCATGCCTGGCATGTGGCAGATCTGCAGTACATGTCAGCTGTTGGTATTAGGGGAAGACAATGATGCCACAGAATACTACTGCTTAAATATAAACTAATGCATTGTACTATGTTTTAAAACACCTGTGAGATATATTCTCGAAAAGTTTGAAGTAGGGCACCAGTGGCTCATGCCTATAATCGTAACTGTTCAGGAGACTGAGATCTGAGGATTATGGTTCAAAACCAGTCCAGGCAGGAAAGTCCGTGAAACTCTTATCTCCAATAAACGATTCAGAAAAAGCTGGAACTGTTACTGGAGCTCAAGTGGTAGAGTACTAGCCTTGAGCACAAAAAGGCTCAAGGACAGCACCCAGGCCCCTAGTTCAAGCCCAGTGCTGACCAGCAAAAAAAATACAGCCCTTTGTTGTGCCCTTTTATGACTGACTTGTGTCTTAAAAGGCTAACACAGAAGGGTAAAGAAAATCTCCATAAAACCCAGAGAGTAGATGGTAAAACTTCTCTTTGGATCCTGTCTGGAGTTACAGCTGAAAAAATGTTTAAGATACAATCTACAAAAGAAAAACTGCCTGTGATCCTGGCAACTCAAAGAGCTGAGATTGAGAATCATGGTTCAGAGACACCCCAGGCAGGAAAGTCCATGTAATTTCTTATCTCCAACTAACCACAAAAATCCACAAGTAGAGGTATGGCTCAAGTGGTAAAGCACCAGCCTTGAGCAAAAAAGCCAAGAATGAGGCCCTCAGAATTCAAACCCCACTACTGGCCAGAGAAAGAAAAGAAAGAGGGGGAGAGGAGGGAGGGAAAAGGAAGAGAAAGAAAAAGAAGAGAGAAAAGAGAAAGAACAAAACAGCTTTGACATATCAAGATTTATTTTAAGAAAAAAAAACTTCACTGGCCTTAAAATCAAATAATATAGTATCTTACATCTATGAAATGACTCTTGGACACCTCTAGTGACTGAAGCATTTTTCACCATGACTAGCATACAAACTCTGAATCCACAAGTTCAAGCAAGTGCTACCCTTTATACACTTTTGTGTTGGGTTAGCAGATTTATTCTACTAAGGAATCCTGATTAGTCTTGTGAATGCTGGTATTTATGGTTCTTGCCATCTGGGCTAGTAGTGAATGTAAAAGTAGGCCAGCACCGGATATCAGTCGAGCCTGAAGAGCCAGATCTGCAGTTTCAGCTAATGTGTCCACGAGTTCTGACATGCAGACAGACATTCCAAAGCAGAATTGTCTATAAAAAGTGTGTCCTGTGGATTTTGTTTTAAAATTAAAGGGGGAAAAACTCCTTAAATATCAGAATCTTGGAGGTTGTGAGATGCTGCCTGCATTAGATTTATTAGTGATGGCCTTCTAGTCATAAGACACATTTCTCAGCAGAAAGCTGGACTCTTGGATTGGGTTGAGAACAATAGTGTTATTATTCAGCGTCAGAATCCACATGACATGAAAAAATAGGAATGGACTTGGACATGGAGGAACTCTTCTCAGACCATTTCAAGAGAGCTAACATTTCCCTAAATAATGAATAAGGTGAGATAGGTCATTCTCCAAATACAGTGATCTTCCTTTTATCCCTTCTAGCTGGTCTCCTCCAAAATACAGGTCAGCAAGCTTGAAAGCAGCCTGAAACAGAGCAAGGCTAGCTGTGCTGACATGCAGAAGATGCTGTTTGAGGAGCGAAATCACTTTGCTGAGATCGAAATAAATTTAAAGGCTGAGCTGGATGGAGTGGAGAGACAGCACCAAGAGAAGGTAAACTCTGGCTGAGGTTTTCCTCAAAAGACTGTGGGATACCTGGCAACAGTGACTCACACCTGCAATCCTAGTTACTCAGGAGGCTGAGGATCACAGTTTGAAGCCAGCCCAGGCAGGAAAATCTATGAAACTCTTATCTCCAATTAACCAGCAAAAGACCAGAGGTGGATCCTTGGTGGCAGTAGGGCAAGGATGGGAGGAGATGGGGGGCAGGCAAGAAAAAGTCCCTGAGTTTCAAGCCCCAGTATAAGCACACACCTAGAAAAAATAACTCTATGGTCTTTTCCAATTTTTCAAACAAAAGTTCATTTGTCTAATTTTATATCTGCCAGTGATGATGACTCTTAGCCTTTCACTTGAACCCCAAGATAAATGTGCTAAGAAACATTATTGTTGTGGTTGCTATTTCAATGCATTTAGAATATACCTCTAAATCACAAGAGGATCATCTGGATCCCTATGTGAACTAGGTAGAAGTTCCTTTCTCCCCTTCTTTTTGTGTCTCTCTCTAGATGCTGTACCTGCTCAGCCAGCTGCGGGAAAGTCAAATGGCAGAGAAGCAGCTGGAGGAGTCAGTTAGTGGAAAGGAACAGCAGCTCCTGTGTAGACTGCAATGTCAGGTATGAGAAGGAGGAAGAGTTCTCCCAGACAGGCTTCAAGCACCTCGTTGACAATTCTGCCTCATTGACATCATTTTATTTGCAGCAGAGCATAATTAACTACTGAAGAAATGCTTATAATGGTAGTGTTTACTGCTTTTTGCCCTATTTGATTATGTTAGAGGTAAGCAGAGTGTAGTAACCTTAGTTTTGCTACCAGAATGGCCAGTACATACTCTACTAGACTTTGAGGCTTCCTGGTTTTTCTGTATCAACTTTGAGCTCTGAATAATTGTCGTAGTGAAGTCATATAGTAGTTAGAATCCTAGGGTTGTGCAACTGAATCTTCCTGAGCTAGTTCTTAAGCTGAGACCTGACATGTTTGTAAAATGCCTAGAGTCTGAATTTCTTCTAGAACACCACACCCTTTAGTAGCATGTTGAAGCACTATTTTAATCCAATTCAGAATCTTTTTCCTGTACTTCCCCTTTTAGTGTTTCCTTCGCCATCTCCCACCTAAGACATAACCCATAAACTTAGTTATAGTTGTATATATGAATCCAGTTGTTTTAAGTGCTGGGAAATTTAATCAGACACTGTCTGCTCTGTTTGGAAGGGTGAGCAGAAGCATCTGTAGACTTCAAGAGATGGGCTGACTTCTGTGTGTTTCTGAATTGACATCCTGTTGTGAATACGGGTGAAGAAGCCTTAGAGAATGGGAAAGAATAAGGAAGGCTATTGGACGGCCCACGGTTCCTACTGGTGTGGTCAGGGCTTCAAGGAAGCCCTGGAACAGAAGTGCCATTCAGGGCACCTGGGAACTGGGAATAAGACATTTTTTCGTGTGCCAATGCCTGCTGTGCAAAAATCATCTACTGCCAGCAACTTGGCAGCAGCATGTTTTCATCTATGGGAGTTGTTTGGTAACCCACATGGAGTGCCCAAAAATAACCCCACCTATCATTGCACTCTCTGGAAACAGGATGAGGAGCTTAGGAAGATGCAAGACTTGTGTGAGCAAAACCAGCAGCTTCTTGAAGAAAATGAAATCCTCAAGCAGGTAATATAGTCTCTCTGTCTCTCTGTATCTGTCTCTGTCTCTCTCTCACACATGCGTGCACTCTCTCTCTCTCTCTTTCTTGATAACTGCTGAGAGACTTTGCTGCCACTGAGCTTGGCACTTGAGAGTAACCCTCAGTTTGATGGTCTAAAAATACAGGTTTTTAAAAAATATGCCCTTTCCTGATTCTTATCTGATCTTAGAATATAGGAGTCCTTCAACCTACTCTACTACAGCCCTGTCTCACTTCACTGTGGCTTACAGTGGAGCTAGCCTAGGTCTAAGAATTTTGATGACTTATCACAAACACTCCCCAAAACTGCCTGTATCATACATTTTGTCTCCTATTTTTCGGAAATAGTTTTTTATTATTATTATAAGGATGATATACAGAGGGATTACAATTACATACATCAAGTAAAGTGTACATTTCTTTTTGAACAATGTCACCCTCTCTCCTTTTCAAATAGAAACTGGCCCTCTTCCAAGTAGCCAGCAACCAGAACCCCCAGCGTAAGGATATCCACCAATCTCCAGACTCTTCCTTTGAGTATATGCCACCTAAGGTAAAATGTTCAGTGCCTTTGCATAGCCCAGGTTTGGGGTAAGTATGCTAAAAATCACCTATTATGAGAGGCTAAAAATTAAAGTCCCCAAATTCTACTCTTTCAGCATCTCCAATAGAGCTATAATACAATCCCAAGGAAAATAGCCATTCTACTTCCTCAGAAGACTTAGTTACTCTTCACTGTACATTGACATTATATAACACTACTGAGGAGTGAGGAGGAGTAAGAGCATTGAACAATGTTCAGCTGTCCATCCAGAGACACTTATCTCTTCATGTCATGACATATCATGAGTTCCTCCCTTCCTCCTTCAGATTGATCAATGTCTGCTTTCTATCTCCTCAAAGATTCTGCAAGGCCAAAGGCTAAAGCCTTTGATTGGTAAAGCCAAGTGAAGTATATTTAATGAGTCTGAAATCTCTGTTCTGAAAAATGCAGCTGGCAACAGCTACTAGGAAGATAGGATGTCATGTTGTTGGATTTTTTTTTCATTTTTATTAAAAAGCCACTTAAAACTTCTCTTCTTAGCCAAAACCTTCCCGTGTTAAAGAAAAGTTCCTGGACCAAAGTATGGACATCGAGGATCTACAGTGTTCTTCAGAGCAGTCAGTGAATGAACATGAGAATGGTGGTGATGATGGTGACAGTGATGATAGGGATGATGAGGAATGGAAACCAACAAAATTAGTTAAGATGTCCAAGAAGACCATCCAAGGGGTAGGAACTATCTCTTTAACTCTCCCAACGGTTTTGTAAACTGTCAGTGTATAGCTTTCTGAATCCAGGAATATACTGTACCCTAGCCTGCATCTTGGATACTCTTCAGAGGCACACTGCCTCTACCAAGTGGGGGAGAGGGAGATTGGGGCCAGCTAGTCTGAATACGTACGTAGTGTTCTGTACCATTCCATGGAAGCTGATCCAAAGTGACCCTAACAATCCTTCATATTTTTATAGCAGTTTATAGTGTACAAAACATTCTCATACATGTAATCTTTTAATCATCAGAATTCCAGTGAGATATTTGCTTCTGCATTTTATAGCTAGACGTCAGATCCAGAAAGGAAATAACCTTGCCCAAGGTCATAAAAACAAGTGACAATCAGGATTTCAAGTTGAATATTCTGACTCCAAGCCCAGTTTATTTCCACCAAATTGTAGTCAGACTAGAAGCTTTGTAGGTGCTTCATTTCCTTAGCTATTAGAGTTGTATTTGCTCACTAGGCTAAGGGGCAAAGAAAGGTGTAGAGGAAAAAAACTAAAACCAAATACCCACTGGGCACTAGTGACTCATGCCTGTAATCCTGGCTACTCAGGAGGTTGAGATCTGAGATTTCAAGCCACTCTGGACAGAAAAGTCCTGAGACTCTTTATTTCCAGTTAACCAGCAAAAAGCTGGAAGTAGAGGTGAGGCTCAAGTAGTGGATCACCATCCTTGAACAGAAAAAGCCAAGTTTAAGCTAGAGTTCAAACCCCTGAGTTTAAACTGCAGTACCAGCACAAAAAAGAAAGAAAGAAAAAGAAAAAAGATCAAACACCTCATGGTTGAGAACAATCTGACTGTATACCATGCTTTATTTAGTTACACAATGCTAGTCTTATATAATTATCAAACAGGAATAGTTTATGTTAAAACATTAACTTGAGGGGCACCAAAGTTCACCACCACCAGCAGCCCAATTATGCCCTGCAGCAACATTCCACTTTCACAGAACAGGTCACAAATTACCTTAACTGGCCTCCAAAAACTTCCTTGATTTGATTAGCTGATAGTGAAGGTTGTGAGGGAACTGAGCCTTGTGAAGCCAAACACCAGAACAAAGCAGTTTTAAGGGAAGAAAAGTTTGTGGTGTGATTTAGTCTGCCGAGCCCTCCAGATTACAGCATTCCTTGAGCTCTGGGTAGGAGCAGGAACTCCTTCTTGGCCTCAGAGCACTTATAATTTAATGAGGAAAAATGGGGGCAGGGAACCTCAGCATAATGCCAAGTGTTGGAGTCTCCTGCCTGTAATCCTAACTACCCTGGAGGCTAAGATCTGAGGGGTAGTGGTTCAAAGCCAGCCCAGGCAGGAAAGTCTGAGATTCTTATCTCCAATAAACCACCAGAAAATTGTAAGTTGAGCTGTGGCCACAAAGTGGTAGAGTGCTAGCCTTGAGAAAAATAGCTCAAGGATAGCACTCAAACCCTGAGTTCAGGGCCTGGGAAGGTAGTTCAGTGGTAGAGTGCTTGCCTTGCATGCATGAAGCCCTAGGTTTGATTCCTCAGCACCACATAAGCAGAAAAAGCCAAAAGTGGTGCTGTGGCTCAAGTGGTAGAGCACTCGCCTTGAGCTGAAGAGCTGAGGGGCAGCACCCAGGCCCAGAGTTCAGGCCCCATGACTGACCAAAAGAAAAAACAAAAACAAAAAAAACCCCTAAGCTCAAGTCCCTTGGCTTACCAAAAAAAAAAAAAAGCATATTCAAAGCCAAATTAGGTATCCTTTAGGAAGATGCCATTACAACAGGTGATTATTGCTGCATAATGAGATGGAAAGGGAAATAAAGAGAATAATAAGAAGAACTTTTACAGCACAATGAATGGCATATTGGAAATGGTTTGAAGGTGGTAGGAGAACAGAGGGCAGGAGCTTAGGGAAAATGAGGCAGAACATGTCGGTTTTCCATTTACTCCAAAAACAGATATGGACAGTGCTATGGTTGAAGTGGAGAGCATGAGCTCTTTTTTCTTTTGATGCCAATAATGGGGCTTGAATTCAGAGCCTGAGTGTTGCCCCTTAGCTTTTTTACTTAAAGATGGTTTTCTACCAGTTGAGCCATAGCTGTACTTCCAGCTTTTTACTGGTTAATTGAAGAGTCTGGGACTTTTCTGCCTAGACTGGTTAAAACCATGATCTTCAGATCTCAGCCTCCTTCCTGAGTAGCTAGGATTACAGGCAAGATTCACTGGCACTCTGCAGCATGAACTTATTTTAAGTGTGTGTGTGTGTGTGTGTGTATTACACATTGTGAACTTTTGATATAGATTAAAAAGTCATTTAAATAGCAGGAGCCAAAGCTGAGAAGTATACACAGAAACAAATAGGAAAAGATCTAAATCCTCTGGAAAGGAACAAAGCAGATATGCATATACTTGTCCCTGAAAAAAGCTTAATATATTTATTAGGAAAAGGGAGATTTTGAAAAATAGCAAGTATTGCAAGTAAATGATAGCTGTCATGAATGATTGATCCTTTTAAAGTAGTGAGTGGGATTGTTGCCTAGGATTTTTGCCCTGGCTTTATAATTTGGAGGGAATATAACTGGGATTTATGGGGAGCAAGCTGACTTAAAATCTTGTTTTTCCTGTAGTAACCTCGAAATGTGTAGATGAGGTGACAACACTTGATTAGACTGCTTGCATTAACTGTGCATGAAGTTGGCCATCTTTTTTTATTATTGCTGCAACCCAGCCTGGGATAGCTGGTATTAGTCCTAGGTTATCCAGGAGTCTGGGGCAACACAAAAATGACAACTTGTACAAAGATAATGGCACCCTCATCCACATTTCCTGCTTGTGCTAAGGAGATGTAAGGAGTAGTCAGTCATATGCTATTAGTAGAAAAAAGGAACAACTTAGAATCCATACAGACATAGGTTCTAGTCTTGACTTGCCAATTGTTCATTGGATGACCTTGAGGAAGTTGTTTCAACTCCCTGACCTCAGATTCCTCATCTATACAGTGAAGGGTTTAGACTAAAATAAATGTTATACAATGAAGGGACTAAACTAAAATAAATGTATAAGATCCATTCCAGTGCTAATGTCCTTTATCAAAGTAATAATCAATATACAAATGGCTCTTAATGATACTCCCTTTATAAGGCATTATATATTACCTGAGAAGTTAAAAGGAAGAATAGATGCAAAAGCCCTTGTGAAGGGTAAAATATCATGCAGATGGTTAGTAAAGCACTGTAATCATTTTAGAAATACACTCATTGGTTACCTGTGCCACAACAAAAAGGAAGAAGACATTCTCTCTCACTGATGAAGAAGTAGAGGTTAGCTTGGATGAAGTGACTTGTCCAAGATCAGGTCAAATATTAAATTTAGGACTAAAGCTCAAGTCTCTTAATTCCTAACCTGATATTCTCTAAGTTCAAATATTGACCAGATGTTAGCTTCCTTTTTGCAGGTGTATTGGTTTTTTTGTTTGCTTGTTTTGTTTTTGTGCTGGTCCCAGGGTTTTAACTTGGCCCAGGCATTGTCCCTGAGCTTTTTGTACTCAAGGTACAAGTAGTTAATTGAAGATAAGAGTCTCAAGGACTTTCTTTCAAACTGGAATCCTCAGATTTCAGCCTCCTTCGTAACTAGGAATAGAGGTCTGAACCACTGGTGACTGGTTTTAACATACAATATAACACTGAACTTTAGTGCTAGTAGTACTATAGACTCCAAAGCAATTGTTTTCAACCCTAGCTGTACATTGGAATCCCAGAGGGAGCTTTTAAATTTAAGAAGCCTGGGCCCTCATCTCCAAATATTCTTATTTAATTGAACTGAAGAAGGACTTAGCCTTTTAGAAAAGCTCTCCAGAGATATCTTATTGCAGCCAACGTTGAGATCCATGGGCTTAAGAGATCCCTAGAGATCTTTCAGATGTGCTTTGTACCCTACAGTGTCTTGGCAGCAGTTGTGATTCACACATGTGCACATATGTGTGAGCACATCCCACATGGGTATGTGTGTGTGTGTGTGTGTGTAGTTTATGACTGTGTTACAATCATGGTCCCTCTCTAACATTCCCATCTCCTTCCTGAAATGAGAAAATAGGATGCAGTTGTAGGTCCTGAGCATGACATCCATGTGACTGCATCTGTCATGTATGTAATGCCTGTTTTGCACTACCGTTACCAAGTATTTGCCCAGCCTATTTGCTCCAATACTGGAGTAAGGGGACACAGTCTCACAAAATGGCTCATTGTGAGGTACCAATTGATAGAAAGGTGCTCCTTGGTTAACTGAAAAATATTGTCCCAAGGTCCCAAAGTGTCTTGGTTATAGAAAGTCTAATCATTCTTTATGACAGCCCTCAGATTGTTTCCATATTATCCTTTTGCATAAAATAGAGAAACTGGACATGGGAACAGTATTTTTGAAGCATTTAGGTGATTTGTAAATGGAGCAGGTCCAAACCCAGGTTGTTATAATCAGTGGATCAGTGACATCCTGGTGAGGTGTCTCTAGGACGTCATGGAACTCTGTTTTTTAGCAGGACACTGGGGGCTCATGCCTGTAATCCTAACTACTCAGAAGGCCGAGATCTGAGGATTCAGGTTCAAAACCAGCCTGAACAGAAAAGTTCATGAGACTCTTATCTCCAATTAACTATCAAAAAGCCAGAAATTGAGCTGTAGCTCAAAGTGGTAGACAACTAGCCTTGAGCATGAAGCTCAGGAACAGCACCTGGCCATGAGTTTAAGTCCCAGGAGTGATACAAAAAAAAGAACTTGTCTTTTTCTCTGTCCTATTCAAAGCAGGAAAGGGATTTTTTTTAATTATCCTTTTAACACCTAGTGTTGGCAAAGGTAACTAAAATAGGTATGTTTTTCTCTTGCTCTTAGATGTATGAGTCGATATTTCTTTCTGGAAGGTAACTTTAACATATTGTCAAAAGCCTTAAAATGTGCCTATCACACCTACCACAATAGCACATATACTTTTAAAAAGTTCCTATCCTTCTCCCTAGACACATATAGCAATTTATACTAAGGAAATGGTGATTAGTATGTAAATAGAGTATTCATTCCACAAATCTTTTTTTTTTTATTGCCAGTCCTGGGGCTTGAACTCAGGGCCTGGACACTGTCCCTGAACTACTTTTGCTCAAAACTAACACTCTACCACTTGAACCACAGCTCCACTTCTGGCTTTTTCTGTTTATTGGTACTCAGAAAGCAAACCCAGGGCTTCATGTGTGTTAGGCAAGCACTCTAACACTAAGCCACATTCCCAAATCTTTTCTGAGTACCTGTGTGCCAGGAATGAGTACTATTTATGCATGCTGATAATACAAAAAATAAGACATGAAATACATTCTTATTGCAAGAGAGACACAGTAACCAGAAAAACAAATAAAACAGTTTTTAATGGCAATATTAAAAAATAGAAATGAAACTACAGTGATGTCCTATACAAAATGATGGGGCGGGGGGAAGAGTAATTAGGAGATGGCATGATATCTGAAAAAAGGGACAAGTTAGGAAAAGAGTCATAAGAGGAACATTTTAGGAAAAAGGAACAGTCCAACCTGGTGGGGCAAACCTACAATCCCAGCACTCAGGATTTTGAGGCGGGAAGATTGCAAGTTTATGGTCACATAGGTACATCCTATCTCAGAAACAAAAATGACAGGAATGAGGTTGGTGTCTCAAGGAGCAGCTAAAAACGCCATTGTGGCTAGAAATAGGATGGGAAAGTAGGAATATTTGGGCAGATCATGGAGGATTTGTCGATCATAGTAAAGTTCTATTTATGTACAAGGATATTCATTGAAACATGATTTTTAATAGTAAACAATTTCAAAACTTTAGCTATTGATATTTCACTTTAGGGAAGTGGTTAAGTACACGGATACATCCACTCGATGAAATGATATATGTCATGATTAAAAATCATGTTTGTCCAGGTGCCAATGGCTCATCCTGTAATCTTAGCTACTCATAAGGCTGAGATCTGAGGATCACAGTTCAAAGACAGCAGGACAGGAAAGTCAGTAAGACTCTTACCTCCAATTAATTACCAAAAGCCAGAAGTGGAGTTGTAGCTCAAGTGGTAGAGTGCCAACCTTGAATAAAAAGCTCAGGGACAGTGCTTGAACCCTGAGTTCAATCAAGCCCCAGGACTGGCACCAAATAAATCATGTTTGACTTTCAAATTTTTACAAAAATAACAGTATCCTCATAATTACCAAAAAAGATGTTATACTATATATTCATAACTACATGAAATAGGTGATGATTCTCATATGAAAAATACTTAGGGGCTTCCATTTTTATTGTAAACTCAGAATGTGACCCAAAAAAAGGCAACTGTGATTTTAGGCCTTATTAACCAGACTTTGGATTCGTAACAATCCACTTCACAATGGCCACACCACATTAAGGAAGTTGTACTCATTTCTAGATCTCATAACTTAAGATGAGCCTTGGCAAATTGTTGTATAGTCAAAATGATTAAGATCTCATGAACCACATCATGTAGTGAACCAGCAGAGAGAGGTAAGCTATCTTTAGCTTTGAAAGGATTTGTACAAAGGGAACTGGAGAGTATGCATAAGGTCTAAGTAGTTATTATGTTAATAGGGGTTCACCTGATCCCACTTCATTCCAGATAGTGGAATTGAGTCCTGTGATTAGAACTTCTATAAATACTCTGTCATCTCCGGATAGAGTTTCAGACCAGGCATATTGGAGAGCAACTTCCAGCATCAAACCAGGCTTTACATGGTCATTGATGTCTCTTCTAATTCTTTTTTTTTGGGGGGGGGGGCTGTCATCCGGCTTGAACTCTGGGTATGGGCACTGTCCCTGAGCTCTTCCGCTCAAGGCGAGCGTGCTCTACTGCTTGAGCTACAGTGCCACTTCCGGTTTTCTAGTGGTTTATTGGAGATGAGGTTTCACGGACTTTCCTGCCTGGGCTGGCTTTGAGGACTTTCCTGCCAGAGCTGGCTTTGAACCATGATCCTAAGATCTCAACCTCCTGAATAGCTAGGATTACAGGCGTGAGCCACCAGCACCTGGCTTCTGATTCTAATCTTTCATCCTGTGAGCTAAACCACCTAAATCTCACCCAAGCCCAATGAGTTATGAAGCCCACCTTCTTCCACCATTTTTTCTTTTTTCGTTTATTTATTCAGTCATAGGGCTTGAACTTAGGGCCTGGGCACTGTCCCTGAGCTCTTTTGCTCAAGGCTAGCATTCTACCACTATGAGCCACAGTACCACTTCCAGTTTTGAGAGGCTAATTGGAGTTTAGAGTCTCATGGGGACTTTTTTGTCCAGGCTGCCTTCCTCAGAGCTCAGCCTCCTGGGTAGCTCTTATTACAGGTGTGAGCCCTACTCTTTTTTTAGTATAATGTATTAATTGTACATATTAATAGGGTTCACTGTGATGTTTTTCCACGCATTGATACTAATCAAATCCAGCCTCCTTTTACTCATTGTATGCACAGACACAAACATACCTTCCCTCCAGTTGCATCTATGCCACTATTTTTCCTGTAATGTTGCTTCCTATAACTCTGATCACCCACTTCTTTTCTGTTTAATGTCTATATTAATCACATATATACAGTGAACTCCTGCATGTGTGTATAAGAAAACATTCATGCCAAGCACTGGTGGATCACACCTACAATCCTAGCTACTCAGGGGGCCAAAATCAGATCAAAGCCAGACTGGGAAGACAAATCCAAGGGACTCTTATCTCTCACCACCAAAAATACAGAAGTGGAGCTGTGGCTCAAATGTAGATGATCAGCCTTGTGCAGAGAAAGCCAAGTGAGAGCACAAGGCCCTGAGTTCAAGCCCTAATTCTGGTACGCACATGTGTGCGTACACACACACACACACACAGTATGCATATTGAATAAATGGGTTCAATACACGGAAAGCCTTTGGAACAGTGCCTGACACACATCAGTGTTAGCTAATTATTCTTGTGACCTGTTTTTGAGAATGGAAAAATATTACAGTCAGGAGAATGGATAAATTGTGGCAGGTACTTAATGTGAAAGTGAATGAAACTAGAGCTACATATATCAACATATAACAAGATGCTATTTAGATAAAATTTTGAACAGAAAGCCTTAGATTTATCTGCAGTATACTTATTAGGGTTGAGCATGAGTGAGGTTTTCCTCATTATTATTGTACTGTATGCTTATATAAACATGAAAAATTATGATGGCCTAATATAGGATGCATTGTTTCAAATGAGAGCCTTGTTTGTCTTGTTTTGGTGCCAATTACAGGGCTTGAACTTAGACTCTCGTGCTCTACCACTTGAGACATGCGTCCACTTCTGGCTGTTTTTGCTAGCTGATTGGATATAAGCGTCTCTGAGATTTGTCTACCTTGTCTATCCAGAACCTCCATCCTCACATATCAGCCTCCTGAGTAGCTCAGATTACAGGCATGAGTCACCAGTACCAGGCTTACATTTGCTTTTTGACAGCCATTTCACACTCTTGACTCAGAGCTTGCTGACACCTCAAATCCTTAGGCCCTTTCTGTACAAGCTACTTTTAAGCCAGAACTCCTTTATATTTATATAGCTGATTTGTGAAAAATCTAAACAGCAAATGTACATTTGTCCCCTTTTTCTTTCAGCCCATAATTCCATTGTGTCAAAATATTTTTTATTATAATTCTGTCATCTTACCTATTAATAATTCTTCCAGCTTTTTTCTGCTGTTAGAGCAGATAAACATGACTACCTTGTAGACTATCTATGAGATACAAATGAGATTTCATATTTATATGTATTAAAGTGTTCTAAGAACTGTGATGTGCTATCGAATCATTAAAGTATTCAATAATTAAAGTACCAAGGACAAATCTCAGAGTGACTTAGGACAAAACATAGAAACATGACCTAGATGGAAGTACAGAAGACATGAAGAAACTACATGTAGTGATGAGAAACCTCATTGTACTTATATCCAGCCTGCAATTCTTTCCCTTGATCATAGACTTTTCATGAGCCTTTCCTTTAAATGTACTTTACAAGACAGAAAATTGATCTGTCTTGCATGACTTGTTCTTAGTAAACCCACTGGTTCATGGTACCATTGTTACATGAAAACAGAGGAGACTGGAGTTTGATGAAGATGATAGCTCTGTCCTTTTTTAATTCTATTTTTAAAAGGCTTGCAAATGAAGGAAAAGCACTTAAAATGTCTTTCTCTAAATGTGTTTTACAGTGTTCCTGCAAGGGCTGGTGTGGGAACAAGCAGTGTGGGTGCAGGAAGCAGAGGTCAGACTGTAGCGTGACATGCAGCTGTGACCCCACAAAGTGTCGGAACCGCCAGCAAAGCCAGGTAGGATCGGTGCTTTTTACCTCATCATCCCTTCAGTCCTCCTACTGGTTTTCACCATTTGCTTTCCCATCCTGAAACCTGCAGTCTCCTTCCTCTGCATCCAGAAACATACATTTCACCCTTCAGCCCTCTCCTGCTACTCACCTGTCCACAGCCCCTTCAGAAACCACATCCTTTCTCAAGAGACTCTTAAGGTTGGGGGTCCCCACCCCAGCTTGGCTGGAAAGCTTCTGTGCCATTTCTGGGGCAAGAGTGAGGAACAGGAAAACAGGCATTTACAGGTATATAGGCATACAGGATTAAACTAGTCCAAAGGCTTAGCTGGACCTCTAAGAGCCACATGCTTAGGAGGCGGGGAGCTTCCGGAAAGGAAGTTAACCCTACTAACATCTTGATACAGTTAATGGACCCTCTCCATGGGAATGAGGTCTTTCTAATAGTCGCTGATGTGAACCAAGTTCACTATACCTATCCTCTTTTGTATTGCTTCCAGGAATAACAATTCAGGGAAACAACACATGCCCTGAAAAGAACAGCAACTTGCAAGTCAGCTCGTTGTATTTTGCTTTAAACTACTGGTTTAACGTCACCACATGATATGTCCTGTGCCACTGTCCTACTCAGTCCTTTGCCTTCAGAGGCCACCTCTAAGCATTGCTTTGTTCTTTCAACACAGCTTGTTAAGTTTATGACCTCTCCAAGGAGCTTCCTAGGCTGCCTCACATGCACCCAGAGCTAGGCCCTCCCTGGCTGATGAGCAGCCCCACATACTCTGTAACTCTGGTAGCTGAATTTATAATACACCTGTCTGTCTAATTTTTCAGGATAGCTCGGGAACTGTTGATAGGACCCAGGATTCTGAAGGCTCCTTCAAACTGGAGGATCCCACAGAGGTAACCCCAGGAATGAGCTTCTTCAACCCCGTCTGCACTACCCCCAATAGCAAGGTAGGCAGGTACTGCTCTGCATTAGGTATGACAGAGCCTGGTAGGAGAGAAAGGGGATAAGGAAAAGTATAACCAGTTTACTGGGAATTGGGCATAGACTAGAATGTTTCTCTTAATGAAGCAATGTTAGGGGACACTATTACTGGGAAGATGTTGAGCTTTTGTACTGAGTTGTTCTGATCATAATTTCTTTGTCCTTCCTAGATCCTAAAAAAGATGTGTGACATGGATCCGATGCTGTTAGACAAGACTGCCCTTGCTCTCTCCTTTGACCTCCCAGAACTGAAACATACAGCAACAGTATCCCAAGAAAATAAGGCCCCAGGGAAGAAAAAGAAGCGAGCTCTGGGCAGCAATACAAGCTTCTTCTCTGGCTGTTCCCCTATAGAAGAAGAAGCCCACTAAAGTTGTAGTTACCATCTTTACCCCATCCCCAGTCTACCAGCCAAAAGGGGTTGTCACATGATTCTTGTGGATTTCTGGTTTCTTGTGATTGAGGCAAGGGACAGTGTTAATGAAAAAGAAGGGGACCTTTGTGGAATGGTGGCCCTTAGTCTCCAGCCCCCTGCCCCCACTCCAGACTTCTTTTTTCTTACTGAAGAACCACTGACCTTCCCATTGACTCATCAGGAACTAGTTCCCAATGTATCTAGCTCTTTTTTCTTTGTGAGCATTAAGCCTGTCTCCTGATGGCCACAAGGCTGAGGTTTCCTCTCTCCACCTAGTGGAGGAGCCTGACCCATCCTGAAGACCTGGCTCAGCTCCCTCTCTCCACCTCTGAAATGGGTTAAGATCTTTCCTGCCCTAGCTCTGGATTTTAACTGTTTATACAGGATTTGTCTGTCTTGTTAGTGAAGTGAAATATTTTTAAATGTTAAATAAACGTTAGTGCCTCTATTGTTTGGAAAGATCCTTCAAAACTTGAGCAAGAAGTAAACTTTTAAGCCCAAGACCAATGACTCATGCCTGTAATCCTAGCTAGGAGGCTGAGATCTGAGGATAGTAGTTAAACCAGCTAAGGCTGGAAAGCCTGTGAGACTTTTTTTTTTGCCAGTCATGGGGCCTGAACCTTGGGCCTGGGTGCTGTCCCTCAGCTCTTCAGCTCAAGGCTAGCACTCTACCACTTGAGCTACAGTGCCACTTCCAGCTTTTTCTGCTTATGTGGTGCTGAGGAATCAAACTCAGGGCCTCATGCATGCAAGGCAAGCACTCTACCACTGAGCCACCTTCCCGTCCCCTGTGAGACTTTTATCTCCAATTGACTACCAAAAAACCAGAAGTAGAATTGTGGCTCAAGTGGTAGAGTGCGAGTCTTCACTTAGGGTCCTTGACTTTGACCACAGAATAAGAATTTCTGGACAAGTCACCATGATTAGAAAACTTGGTGGAGCGTTATTGAATAAGTAAGCAAGCAGCCATGCAAGCAAGCAGGAAAGTCAGGGACACACTCTAAAATAGTATGGGCATTCTAAAGGAGACACAAGCTCTTCAGCTCCAGGAGTATTTCTAAGGTAAAGGCAGGGGGTTTGGCTTCAAAGTTATACAAAGCTGGGATTTTTGTCTTTGCTTTAACCACACCTGGCATTCTCTGAGTTTCCCGGAAAGAATGCATCTTGCCATAAAACAGATCCTTATCCTTGAGACAAGGAGGCGCCTTGCTATCTGCACTTTGGGGCAGGTGGCTTAAGTTTTCTCAGGAACTCATCCATCCTGTCAGACAGTTGTTCTTAGGTAAGAAAATGCATTCCTGTTGTCTCTCCCTGAAGCAGAAGATAGCCCTTCTATGTTTCTAAATACCATATTTCTGAGTTGCCAGGCCTCAGTTTCCTTAAGTTATCCTGCTTCATTTCCCCAAAAATGACTTGTTCCCTTAATCTTAAGGGAAGTACATGAAGGAGTATCTACTATATTTGCTATATTCCCTAGTCTGTTCTGCTTCATTTCCCCTAAAATGACTTGGTTCTGAAGTAGATGGACAAGCTTTAAGCTTGAGTCTTTGAATCCCTGGCAGCCAGTTGCCATGCCTCATTTTCCCTAGGCTATCCTGCCTCATTTTCCCCTAAATGACTTCCATCACTTAATCTTAAGGGAAGTTGATGGGTGAAGGTAACTGCTTCAAGCTGAGTTGGATTGCCTGGATCAGATATCATTAGGAGCATTCTTTGACTCTGAACTGGAAAGGAAGTCACATGAGAAATGAGGGACGATAATAATGGAGCATGATGCGTATATCCATATTATTCTACAATTTCCCTAGGAAATTGGAATTACATTGGTAGGCCAGTAGCCTGCCCTCCTAGAACCTGCTTGGCTTCCAGATTTGAGAAGAAGGAACCACTTTTACTGAACATCTCCACTTTCCTGCCATATTTTATTTGCTTCTTACAAAATAATGCTCAAGGTAGATAGGAGACCATACTTTATAGAAGAGGAAATAGGATGTTAGTTTACATCACTAATAGCTGAGGTAACTTATGACTGGCATATTTATTTTGGTACACAGTTTGGGATGGTCCAGGGTTTTTTTTGTTTTGTTTTTTATTTTATTTTATTTGTGAACATACTGTACAGAGGGGTTACAATTACATGGGCAGGATAATGTGTACATTTCTTACCAAGCATTGCAGCCTCCTCCTTTGGTTTACCCTTCACATCCCTTCCCAGCCTCCCCCCTCCCCCCCAATCCAAACCCTTCTCCTTCCCCCCCCCAACCGACGTTGTAAAGCTCGTTTTGTTTTTTGGTCCAGTTGTGGGGCCTGAACTCTGGACCTGGGTGCTGTCCCTTAGCTCTTTAGCTCAAGGCTAGCACTCTACCACTTGAGCCACAGCGCCACTTCCTGCTTTTTTTTTCTGCTTATATGGTGCTGAGGAATCAAACCCAGGGCCTCAAGCATGCAAGGCAAGCGCTCTACCACTGAGCCACCTTCCCAGCCCTGGGATGGTCCAGTTTATAGTCTTTGGTCCTGTTTGGGGACTTGTGGTGAAACAGCACATCATTATGGAGGCCTACAATAGAGCAAAACCACTCAGGGCCAGGATGCAAAAAAGGAGGAAGGGGAAGGGTTTTGAGTACCACTTCTTTCTAGGGTAAACTCCAATGAGCTGAAGATGAGGCTTTAACAGGCTGCACCTGTTAAAAGGTTCCACAGCCTACTATATAGCACCACAGACTAGGGACCAAGCCTTAACATGTGAGTCTTTGGGGAACATTTAAGATCCAAAGTACAGCACTGAGGTACAAAGAAATAATTTATGTAGTCATCATGTTATGGAGTAATAGAGCTATGAAATGAACCCAAGTCTAATGTGTGACATCCTATTGCACAGCTCATTATTGTGCATGAAGTTTTTCCAGCTCTGCTTAAAATCTAGAAGGGAGCTGGAATCTGTAATCCTAGCTACTCAGGAGGCTGAGATCTGAGGTTAATGGTTTGAGCAACAGCCTGGAAGTGTAGGTATGGCTGAAGTGGTGGAATGTTAGCCTTGAGCAAAAAAAGCCAAGCAGAAGTGTGAAGACCTGAGTTCAAGCACCAACACCAAACGTTTGTTGTTTTTTTCTTTTAAACTAGAAGGGAGCCAGCCCTGCAATGCCATATATACAAGCTGCTGAGTAGATTTCTATCCTGGGAGCTCACAAGCCCCGAGATTCAAAAATGCATTCATGTTGATTCCCACCCCTAAAAAGCTACCAAACCCACTCCACGAACTAGAAAATCAAGAGTAGAATGCACCACAACCCAAACAGGAAATTGAACAACAACCTACCTAGAATGAAGCCTGCTAAGGACTGGGTGACCCGCTAGCCCTCCCTGGCCTCCTGCCAACAAACAGCCTTGCTTCTCTTTGCATTTTAATTCCTGAGGGAGTAAAGGAGTCTACCATTGGCAACTAGAGCCTGTGAATACAATGGGAAAGCAGAGAAGGAGGGGGCTGCTTCTTGGCAGCCGAAAGCTAGTCTTCCATCTCAATGGTTGAAATCCAGTGAGGGGAAGGGGGAGGGGCAGGTTTCTCCCCAGGAAAAAATATCTTTCCTACCAATACCTTACTAGCCCCAGACCCCAAGTCACCACTTCAGTCAGAATGCAGAAAAGGTCAGCCCATCAAGTTAGCTCCAACCCCCAGCTCACACTGACCTTTGGCTTTAAGCTTGCTGGGCTACTTTCTTCTGTTGATGCTGGAATAACTACATCTTTGCGTGTAAGCCTCTTTCCAAAGTCTATTACCCTCAACACACTATATACTCAAGTCGTTCTCAAAGACCCTCATGCTCTAGAGACAACACAGAGCAGCAGAATGATATAAGACTCAGCTTGGCCCAGATGAGCATCTCTTGAATGGGGTGACATAAAAGGCAGGACTGCTAAGTTGTCACTCGAGATCCACAGAGCTCATGGGGACCCCTGGTTCAGAAATAAGGCAAACCTGCCGCCAAGAACTTAAGAAGCAGTCACATTTTATAGATATTCCTTGCACATGTGGAAAAAGAGGCTAGTGACTGAGGGCTTTATTCACAGGAAGCTTTGAGACACTTCTCACACAATTGGAAACTCACACACTTGAAAGTGTTTCCAGGGGCCTGAATGGGCCCCTTGCTCACTGCAAAATTGTGTGGTCACCTCCCCCCAGCTTCCCGCCAGCCTGTGCCCTCAGTTCTGGCCTCTCTGAGCCAGGACAAAGCCTGGCAGAGACTGGGAGGGGAACAGGAGGAGGGACTGAGGGGATAGGGAAAACTGCACAAAGGAATTCCTCACCCAAGCCCCCTGACCGCCAGCAAGTGAAGAAGCAATTCTGCTCTCCCTCCCACTCACTCCCTTCCCATCTTCCCACTGTGGCTGGGCTCAGGCCATACAGCAGCTGCGGGCCTTCAGAGAGGACCCACACATCCTCCTGTAGGTGGCAACAGTGCCACCTGTTTGGTGGGGCTGAGCCAAGGATTGCAAGAGGGAGGAGGCAGACAACTCAAGAGGAGCTGGGAAGCAGCGCAGAGCAGAGAGCAGAGCTGCGCTGAGAAAAGGTGTGAGGGTTCGGGAAGGCTGGGGGATACCACCGGGAGTTATGGGGGGATGGTGGTACAGATAATCTCTCCCTAGCAGGACTGGGATCCTGAGGTTGAGCAGCACCCCTCTGCTTGGGTTTTCCAGGCTGTTCAGATCCTGATCACATCGGTTCATGGAGGGAGGTGGGACTCTGGACGGCAGTCTGGGATTCAAGGGTAGGACCTCAAGCAGGGCAGGGGGTGTGGACTGGAGTCCGGGACAAGCTACCATAGCCCAGGGATGGGCTCAGGACAAGCTACCACAGCTCAGCAGTGGGGGCTGTCTGCTGGGGAGATGCTTAGAATGGATAGAAGTTTTCTTCCCTCTACTCCAGAGCCTACTTCTCCACCTCTACCCCAACCCTTCTTTCCCAAGGTAAGCATAGAAGAGAGGGAGTTTCAGGAGGAGCCACATTCTTCTTCCTTGAAAGGGTACAGCCACTACACTCCTTAAGATTCCACAACCTCAGAGGAGCTTGGACACCATGTAGCCCTGTCCCCTAGAAAACACACACACACACACACACACACACACACATCATGCAGCTCTTTGGGTATATCAAATTCCTTTACACATTCAATTAAATTCTCTTGAAACCCACTAGTGTAACATGCATCATACATAAACTAACATAGATTACACCCACCCACTTGCTTGCATTGGCTCAGTAATAAAATTCTCACCTGTCGTAAATACACTCCTGTCTTGAGTATAATAACAATCACAGATCCAGCATAGTTTAAGGGATCAGCTTTGTCTTGGGCAGACCCAGAAGCTCACGGAGCTGGGATCAGGATTCCCAGCTCCAAGACAACACCACCACCACCACCACACACACCTTTCTCTGATGCGCCTTGTACTTTCACCGAAGCTAATGCAGAGGGTGGGGCAGCTGAAAGGGGGAGGGGGGGCTTGGTTTCTGGTTGGGTTGTGGGGGGTGACTGAACTAGGTGACTAGGCAGGAAAAGACTAAGCTACTGTGCTAGAGCTTGCATTCTCCAGGTGTGTACTGGTTCTTTTTAACAGGTTGTGAGTGACCCCAGCAGCCAGTTTCTCCTGGTTTTCCTCTCACGGGCAGTGCCCCACCCCCGACCCCCTGGGAAGGGGACACAGAGAATCTTTCAGTCAGGGCTTTGTGATTTGTACAATCTGTGTATCCATAGCAACTAAGCAACAAGCTGGGCCTCCCTTAGCCTCAGGTCAGAACTGCTTAAGGTCCCTACAGCTTCCCGTGGTGGGAAGATAACTCTGCATGGGGCCGTGTAAATGGGAGCCAAATCTGCCTCAACTTGCTGAACCAAGTTTACCTCACCCCGAGGCAGTTTCTTCTGAAGACCCACCCAGCACTCCACCTCCTTTAGAGTGCTGTTATATAGGGAGGAGCTGGAGCACACAGGTATGTTTTCTGCTGGCCCAGAGCTGATCCTCCTGTGTCCCACTGGCTTTCCAGGTACTGAAAATAAAGGGAAAAGGTAAAGAAACTCTTTGTCTTTCTTTACCAGGCTCAAAGCCAGGGTTGTGGGCTTCATCCAATCCAAGGTTCTCAAGCCTGCCCAGTGACTTCCCTCTGTTGCCAAGCAGTGGCCCATGCTTGTGGCCCTCCCCCAGGCTCCACAAATACACTGGGAGGGAAGGCTGAAATCTACTTTCTGCCAGGGTCCCTGACAGCAGTGTCCCTTCCCCCAGGCTTTCACCATGGCTGAGTCCCCTGACTGCCGCTCCATCTGGGCCCGCTGCCTCCACTGCCTGTATAGCTGCCACTGGAGAACTGGACCCAAAGAGAGGAATCATACCAGCAAGGTGACATAGGGATGGGGGCTGAGGCCAAAAGTCAAAGCCTTTGCTTGTTCAAAGGGAAGGAATGTGGAGGCCTATTAAGCAACTGGGAGGAAGGGTTTGTTTATTTTCAGGCCCTGAAGCTTGAACTCAGGGCCTGGGCACTGTCCCTGACCTCTTTTGCTCAAAGCTAGTGCTCTATCACTGAGCCACAGCTCCATTTCCAGTTTTCTGCTGGTTAATTGAGGATGAGTCTCATGGCCTTTCCTGCTCAAGCCAGCTTTGAACCACAATCCTCAGATCCCAGCTTCCTGAATAGTTAGAATTATTGACGTGAGCCATAGGTGCCCAACTAGAAGGGTTTTTCTCTCTCTAGGAGGAAAATCTTACTCGAATTATAAAGAGAACTGCTCAGAACACAGCAGCCCAATACATGACAAGAAGCTCTTTTGAGCTGCCGTGGTTGGGGCCTCTGAGCAGAAATTGGGATAGGCTGTGAGAGCTTTTCTCCTGCCCCTTTGCAGTGTGACTATATCTGGTTTGGCCTGCTCTGCCTCACCTTCCTCCTCTCCTTGGCCTGGCTGTACATCGGGCTCATCCTTCTCAATGACCTGCACAACTTCAACGAGTGTGTCATGGGTTCCCCACCCCTTCCTCAGCATATATGGCCACTTACTCCCTACCTCAGGCCGCCTGGGTATTGTGGGGGAGGGGAGAACCCATCAGTCATCCTCACCCCAACCCAGCCCCTCCAGCTCTCCTGCTACCCTAACCTCCTTAGAAAATCCCTCCATGAAAACCCTAATCCTTAGAGGCCTGAGCTCATGGAGGTCTTTGTCCTTTCTCCCTTCTAAGTGGATCAACCCACCCCCATCTCCCATGAGGCTACTATTGACACCCTTTCTCCCACTTGGATGTCTTCTTCTTCTTCCCTCCCACAGATTCCTTTTCCGACACTGGGGACACTGGATGGACTGGTCTCTGGTATTTGTGTTGATCATCTCTCTATTGGTCACATATGCATCCCTGCTATTGGTGGGTTCTGGAGCATGCGGCATAATCCCCGCTAGCTCTTCTTTCTAGTACTGCTGTATCCTCTTGTCCTCAGGGGAGGGTGTTAATGTTTGGGTGGGAGGGAGGTACCAGCCTGCAAGAGCCTCCCCTCAATGACATTTCCCTAGAACTCTTCATGCCTCCTAAGTCTCCCTACCTTCTTCCTTCAGCTCCTGGCCCTGCTCTTGCACCTCTGTGGACAGCCTCTACATCTACATGGTCTCCACAAGGTACTGCAGGATTGACAGAGAGGAAAATAAGGGATGCCAGGGCCCAGCACTTTGTGTCCAGTGGAATGAGGACTTCCATTTTCTACCCTTGGGGTTGAGTACAGGACTTCAAATCCAGCAAATATTTGCCCAGTGAAAGAAGAGTCTGTGTTAGGGTTTGGGAAGGATCCTGTCTCAACAAAGGGAAGGGGGCAACCCAGGCAAAATAAACCATGAGCCTAGGTTAACAAAGAACGTTCCATCCATCCTTCCCCCTTCCAGGTTCTACTGCTCCTTATTATGTTTCTTGTTGCCACTGGCCTTGTGGGATTGGACATCCGGTGGCACCAGGAGTGGCATAGCTTACATCTGTCACTACAGGTGAGTGGCTGATATGATCTTCAGTGTCTAGGTGAGAGCCATGGCCTGTGGCCAATCCTAAAGCAAATGTTGTTCCCTGGTTCCCTAAGACTGTAGGTATCTCTGAACTCCAAACATCAGCCCCTCAAAAGATAAGAGTAAAGAGCAAGCTGGGCACTAGTGGCTCACACCTGTGATCCTAGCTACTCAAGAGACTGAGATTTGAGGATCGTTGTTCAAAGCCACCTTGAACAGGAAAGTCCATGACTCTTATCTCCAATTAAGCAGCAAAAAGCCAGAAATAATGGCGTGACTCAAGCACTAGAGCTCTGTCCTTGAGTGAAAAAAATGCTCACAGTCAGTGCTCAGGCCCTAAGTTCAAGCCCCAGTACCAACACAAAAAAAGTAAGGAGCAGTAAGAAAAGCTCTCCTTACCAGCTCTTATTCACAGGCCACAGCCCCATTCCTTCACATTGGAGCAGTTGCTGGAATCACCCTCCTGGCCTGGCCTGTGGCTGATACCTTCTACCGTATCCGTCCAAGAGGTGCCAACCACAACCCCCACTAACCTTTGCTGGCTGCTGATGGCTTCTCCCTCCTATCACTCATACCCTGTTTCCTAAACCTGTGCTCTGTCTTCTGCCTCTCAAGTACCCCCTCCCATTGCCCTTTTTCCAATATCTTTCCCTCAATCTACAGGTCCTAAGATTCTGCTACTAGTTCTGTATTTTGGAGTTGCCCTATTCATCTACCTGGTCCCCCTGTATGTATCCTCACCGTGCATCATGAAACCTGGAAACTTACCCCCCAAGCCTGGACTGGTTGGACACCGAGGAGCTCCCATGGTAAGTGGCACAAGTCTGGGCCATTGAGGAAGGTTTGCTTCTCCAGGCTGCAGTCAGGCCTGTGCATTTCCAGGCTTCCACCTTTCCCTGCAACCTTCATACCCATTCCCTTTCTCAGTTGGCCCCTGAAAACACCCTGATGTCCCTGAGGAAGACAGCTGAATGTGGAGCAACTGTGTTTGAGACGGATGTGATGGTCAGGTGACAGAGGGTGGGGCTCAAGATCTAGGGGCTGGTGGCTGGAATAGCTCAAGAAACAAAAATGAGCAGCCATGCCCCTGCAATAAAGGTTGGGCACTGATGACTCAACACCTGTAATCCTAGCTACTTGGGAGGTTGGCATCCAAAGGATCAAGGTTCAAATTCTGGCCAGGAAGAAAAGTCTTTAAGACTCAATCTCCAATTAAGCAGCAAAAGTCTGGGCTGGAGGCATGGCTCAAGTGGTAGAGCACCAGCTGAGCAAGCAAATGCAAGGCCTTGAGTTCAAGCCCTGGGCTGGTGTTGCCTTTAAAAAAAAAGAGCAGTAACAGATCTTGGCCCTCTGACACTCCTTGTGCCCTCAGCTCGGATGGCGTCCCCTTCCTCATGCACGATGAGCAGCTGAGCAGGACTACAGATGTAGCTTCTGTGTTTCCAGCCCGAATCACAGCTCACAGCAGTGACTTCTCCTGGGCTGAACTGCAGAGGCTGAATGCCGGGACTTGGTTTCTAGAGGTGAGCACATGTCTGAGTACAGTGACATTCAGAAAGGACAGAGTTCATTTTACTGATAAGTATTTGCTGAGCATTATGCTAGTCAGTAGGAGCACAATCTGTCTCTCAAGTCACTCCCACCTAGTAAGGAAGAAAGTCTAGGTAGTAATTAGAATAGGAAACCTGGCATAATAAAAACACTTTTCCAGGGCAGAGAGTAGAGAAAGGTCACTGTTTAGCAGATCAGGAGTGGCTTTGCCCAGAGGAAGATTATGAGAAGCATGTGACATGAGAGTTTGCTCACAGGATGGATAAAATAAGGATAGGGAATTGTGTTTGACAAGTTGAGATGGAATACAGACTAGACAGGTACTCTACCACTGAGCAACACCCTCAGCCCTTGAGATAGGGAACTCTAGTCAGGAGTACAGATAACAGCCAGAATATGAAAAAGTATGTTTCCATGCCAGATGAGATGGCTTATGCCTAAAATCTCAGCTACTCAGGAGATGGAGATCTGGAGGATTAAAATTTGAGGCTAGGGCTGGGAATGTGGCTTAATGGTAGAGGGCTTGCCTAGCATGCATGAAGCCCTTGGTTTGATTCCTTAGTACCACATACACAAAAATGCCAGAAGTGATGCTGTGGCTCAAGTGGTAGAGTGCTAGCCTTGAGCAAACAAAACTCAGGGACAATGCCTAAGCCCCAGGACTGGCAAAAAAATAAAAAGATTTGGGCCTGCCTGATCACCCAGTGGCTTACACCTGTAATACTAGCTACTCAGGAAGCTGAGATCTTAGGATCATGATTCAAAGCCAGCTGGGGCAAGAAAGTCTTTGAGACTTTTACTTCCAATTAACCAGCAAAAAAAGCTCCAGAAGTGAGGCTATGGCTCTAGTGGTTGAACGCTAGCCTTGAACAAAAAAACACAGGGATGATGCCCAAGCCCCACAATGGGCATGGGCATACACACACACACACACACACACACACACACACACAATTTCAACCAATAAGCTGAATGTAGTGGTGGCTGCCTGTGGTCCCAGCTATACAGGAGGACATAGATAGAAGGATGACCATGTCTGGGACTGGTCCACAGCAAAAACATAGACCTTACCTGAAAAATAACTGGCTGAGTACATGACTCATGTGGTAGAGCAGCCTAGGCAAGCCTGAGGCATGAGTTCAAACCCCAGTACCATAAAAAAGCATGTGTCCAGAGAAAAAAAGGGGCTCAACATAACTAAGAGATGCAAATCATGGAAGAGGCTTAGAATCATGGAGAAGGGCTCTGAATACTGGACCCTAGAATTATGAATTTAAATTCTGTAGGTGGCAAAAATATTTTAGATTTTTAGTATCTCTTCATATGAGTACAAAAGTAATACTAGCTCATCATAAAAATGTACCAACTCAGCTAGGTGCTAGTGGCTCACACTTATAATTCTAATTACTAAGGAAGCTGAGATCTGAGGATCTTGATTTAAACAGAATACATAAAAAACAAGATTCTTACCTCTAATCAGCAAAATGCTGAAAGTGGAAGTGGCAGTTTGGCTAAATTGGCAGAACACTAGCCAAGAACAGACGAAAAACAAGTGAGAGTAAAAATCCCTGAGTTAAGCCCTAGTAACAGCACACATACATACACACACACAAACACACACACATACACACACACAGAGTAAAATTTCAGAGAGCCTAGAAAATGAAGCCTCCTATAATCCAAACTGTGTGAAATATTTACTTTTTTGTGTTTTTCAGTAGTGGGGCTTGAACTCATGGCCTGGGCACTGTCCCTTAGCTTTTTTTGCTCAAAGATAGTGCTCTGCCATTTGAGTTACAACTCCATGTCTGACTTTTGGTGGTTAATTAGAGATGAATCGCTTGGACCAGACACTGGTGGCTCAGGCCTGCAATCCTAGTCACTCAGGACGCTGAGTTCTGAGGATCATGGTCCAAAGCCAGTCCAGGCCGGAAAGGCTGTGAGACTCTTATCTCCAATTAACCACCAGAAAACCAGATGTGGAGCTGTAGCTCAAAGTAGTAGAGCACTAGCTCTGAGTACAAAACTCAGGAAAAGAGCCCAGGTTCTGAGTTCAAGCCCTATGACCAACAACAACAACAAAAAAGACTCTCTCAGACTGTCTGCCTTAACTGACTTCTGGCTTCAAACTGGGATCCTCAGATCTCAACCTCCTTAGTAGCTAGGATTACAGGTGTGAGCCACTAGTGCAAAGCTTAATATTCACTTTTAACAGCTACATGTCCAACTGTATGCATTTATTTTTATATACATATACTTTTCATTTTGCATAAATAGGATCATGACACAGACTTTTGCAATTAAAAAGTATGAATACAATTCTTTATGATGGCATATCAGAGTAATTAAGAATTAGAAGCATCTAGATTTGAACCCTGGCGCTACCACTTGCCAGCTCTGGGAAACATTCCTTAGACAATCTGTGTTTCACTTTCCTCATCTGTACAATAGGAATAATAAAAATACTGTACCTGGGGCTGGGAAGGTGGCTCAGTGGTAGAGTGCTTGCCTTGCAGGCATGAGGCCCTGGGTTCAATTCCTCAGCACCACATAAGCAGAAAAAAAATCTGGAAGTGGCGCTGTGGCTCAAGTGTTAGAGTGCTAGCCTTTTGCTGAAGAAAGAGCTGAGGGACAGCACCCAGGCCCAGAGTTCAGACCCCATGACCAACAACAACAACAACAACAAAATACCGTACCCTATAGGGTTACTGGGTAGAAAGACATAAGTACTTAGAACTCTGAGTTATACCTAGTAAGTAGTTAATAAATATAGCTAGCTTCCTCTCCTGAGCAGCAGCTGCCCCCATCAGTACTCAGGCCATAGTTCTAAGAGTTGTAGGGCAGAAGGAGCAGGAAGAGAGTTAAGCTGTGGATGGACCATGGGGAGCGGTATGGCTGATAAACTGGGAGGAAATAAAAGGTTCTAAGATCCCAGAGGTCTCCATGAGACTGAAGAGACCTAGTGGGAAAAAGGAAGTTAAGAAACTAGACCAGGGGGGTGGGGGGGGGATGGGAAGGGGAAACAAAGGAGGAGGCAACAACGCTTGATAAGAAATGTACGCATTATCTTGCCCATGTAATTGTAACCCCTCTGTACAGTATTTTCACAATAAAAAAATAAATTAAAAACAAAAAAGAAACTAGACCAGAGGTCAGAAAACCAGAAGGAGGTTGAGGTCATAGAGAAAAGGCCTAGAGAGAATCAAGCCACATTTCAGAGACCTTTAGAGGAGGCAAGAGCTGAGTTGCAAGTGGGGAGGAAATGTGAACAAAAGATGGTGAGTATGGGGAAAAAGCTAGGACACCAATTCTGATGTTAAAATCATTGTCCTTTCTTTTAGAGATACCCTTTCTGGGGTGCCAAACATCTGTCTGGCCCTGACCAGAAAGAGGCTGGGAATCAGACAGTACCAGCACTAGAAGATTTATTGAAGGAAGCAGCAGCCCTCAACCTTTCCATCATGTTTGACTTGCGCAGACCCCCAAGAAACCACACATACTATGACACCTTTGTGAACCAAACACTGGAGACTGTGCTGAATGCAAGGGTGCCCCAAGACATGGTAATGATGTTAGGGGTCCCAATGAAATCCCTTTTGTCCCTCTGCCCACCCCACCTTCCCTAGGCCATAGTGATTTCAGGGCTACCTGTTACCCCAGTGTTCTGCCCCTCCCCTGAGGTTACACACCCTATATTGGAGCCAAACTTTTCCTGCCTCTGTCCCTGGAATCTCTAGGTGTTCTCAGCTTCATGTCCATCTTCCCTGTATACAGGTCCTTTGGCTACCAGATGAAGATCGGGTGAATGTCCAACAACGGGCACCCCAAATGCGCCAGATATATGGACAGCAGAGAGGCAACAGAACGGAGAAGCCCCTATTTCTCAATCTTCCCTATCAAGAACTGCCACTGTTGAACATCAAGTGAGTGCCAGAGAAAAGGAACCAAAGGGTATCCAAAGCTAAGGACAGGGAAAAATCAGTACAGGGAGTGCAGAGGTTATTCATTCACTCACAGAACAGATATTTATTGCTGTTGATTGAGTAATATTTGTTGCAGGCTTTGGGGTGCAAACACAAATCAGATTCCTGCTTTCATAGAATTTAGGTACTAGTAAAAGAAATAGACAAAGCTGGGTGCCAACGGCTCATACCAATAATCCTAGCTACTCAGGAGGCTGAGATCTGAGGATTGTGGTTTACATTCAGCCTGGGCAGGAAAGTCCGTGAGACTCTTATCTCCAGTTAATCACCAAAAAGTGTGAGGGAGAGCTGTGACTCAAGTGGTAGAGCAGTAAACTTGAGCAAAAAAGTTCAGGGCTGGGAATGTGGCTTAGTGGTAGACTCCTTGCCTAGCATGCATGAAGTGCTATGGATCAAGTGGTAGAGTGCTAGCCTTGAGCACAGAGAGGCTCAGAGACATTGCCCAGGCTCTGAGTTCAAAACCCAGGACCAGCAAAAAAAAAAAAAAGTTTAGGCCCTGGGTTCAAGTCCCAATGCACATGTGCACACAGGAAAAAGAGGAGATAGACAATAAACCAATTAAAATATGCATATTAGGTAGTGATGAGTGCTATGAAAATGAAATGGACATGTCTTAGTGATCGGGATGTTAGGGGTTGTTGTAGAAACTGGACAGTTATGTCAGAAAGCATCTAAAGAGTTGATATCTGAGCTGAGATTTGGGAATATCTAACTGGGAAGGCCTGGGAACACAATTAACTATAGGGAGAGCAGCAGAATTGCTGGGGTAACTAATGGTTTCCTCAGCCTAATGGCAAGAGGAAGGTGAAGCTGGGAAAGTAGGCAAGGGCCAAACTGGGTAGGCCTTATAAGTCAGGAGTAGTTCACCTTTATTCTACATGAAAGAAATCAGAAAAGAGGGGATAGGTCCAGAGAAGAGAGAGGTAAGAGAGTCCCAGTTGTGAACTGAGCCCCAGAAGATAAACCATTGAGTAAACATGATACAATTCCAAACACGAGGTTGCCAAGGTGCCTTAGAATTTGCCTGTGGTCACACAGAAAAATGTGAACTGAATGATATCTCAGATATTATAAGTACTTTATAGGAGAACCTTTGGGCTGGGAAGGTGGCTCAGTGGTAGAGCGCTTGCCTTGCATGTTTGAAGCCCTGGGTTCGATTCCTCAGCACCACATAAGCAGAAAAAAAAGCCGGAAGTGGCGCTGTGGCTCAAGTGGTAAAGTGCTAGTCTTGAGCTTGAAGAGCTGAAGGACAGCACCCAGGCCCAGAGTTCAGGCCCCATGACCGGACCCCCCCCCCAAAAAAAACAAACAAAACAAAAGAATCTTTTACTAAGCTGTCACCATGAAGAGAAACACAAATTTCAATTATAGCCAGGTGTAGTGGCACATGCCTGTAATCTCAGTGATTGAGAGGCTGACACAGGAAGGAGTATCATAAGTTCAAGAGAAATCTGATTTATATAGCAAGATGCTGTCTCAGAAAGGAGGAGGAAGAAGAGGGGGAAAGGAGGAAAGAAAGGAAGGAAGGAAGGAAGGAAGGAAGGAAGGAAGGAAGGAAGGAAGGAAGGACAGAAAGAAAGAAAGAAAGAAAGAAAGAAAGAAAGAAAGAAAGAAAGAAAGAAAGAAAGAAAGAAAGAAAGAAAGAAAGAAAGAAAGAAAGAAAGAAAGAAAGAAAGAAAGAAAGAAAGAAAGAAAGAAAGAGAAAGGAAGGAAGGAAGAATGTCAATTGTACAAGCACAAGAAAGGAAATACTGGCATAAATAGAAACAAGTGTGGAAAAGCCCAAGGCTTTGATGGAGCTTTGGTAGTAGTCTACAGACTCATCAGCAGTAGATAACATTGAGAAAGGCTAACCTGCAGGCAGTGTCCAGAGGTAGGAGATCATCTTCCTCTATTCAAAGCTACCAAAAGCTTATCTGGGGTATCCTGTTCAAAGGCACATTTTCAAAGGGACATTGATAAACTGTGTAAGGTCAGATTAGAAAAGTGTGCTTAGTGAAGGAAATAATGAATGACAGTCCAACCAGAATGGTTGAAGGAACTAAGGTTTTTGTTGAGTCTGCAGAAGGAAAGGCTCAGGGAGCTGAGGCCTCACATCTTCAGACCTCTGAAGGGCTGTCCTGGGACAAAGGGTAGAGACACATTTTGCATAACCTCAGAGAACAAAGCTGGTACTTGTGGATAGAATCCCACTAGGAAATGGACTCCCTCTATGCATAGAAAAATCACCTTTGGTTAGATGCTGGTAACTCATTCCTGTAATCCTGAAGGCTCAGATCTGAGAATAGTGGTTTGAAGCCCATGTGAACAAGGAAGTCCAGCAAGAAAGTCCATGAAGAATTTTTCTTTTTTTGAGGGGGGGGTCCGGTCATGGGGCCTGAACTCTGGGCCTGGGCGCTGTCCCTCAGCTCTTCAGCTCAAGGCTAGCGCTCTACCACATGAGCCACAGAGCCACTTCCGGCTTTTTTCTTTTTGCTTATGTGGTGCTGGGGAATCGAACCCAGGGCCTCATGCATGCTAGGCAAGCGCTCTACCACTGAGCCACCTTCCCAGCCCCTCCGTGAAGAATTTTTGTCTCCAATGAACCACCAGAAAGCTGGAAGTGTGGCTCAAGTAGTAGAGCGCTAGCCTTGAGCAAAAACAGCTAAGGGATAACGCCCTGAGTTCAAGATCCTGAGAGCAGTATTGAGTTATGAGAACAAAGCAGATTTCCATTAAGGAAGGGAGGGAAGGAGAGAAAGAGAGGGAGAAAGGGAAAGGAGCAAGAGAGGGGGAATGGGAGAGAAAGGGGGAGAGAGAGAGAGGGAGAGGGAGAAAATAGCACCTTTGGTCAGGGTCTGCTAGAACCAATACCACTTAGCAATGGCATTGTAGATTCAGGCACTTGCTGGGCCTGCCTGCTGTGCATTGTACACCACAATTTTGAATGTTCCTCATTTCTTTCCTGCTCCCACAGGGCACTGCACCAAGATAATGTGTCAGTGAACCTATTTGTAGTGAACAAGCCCTGGCTCTTCTCCCTGCTCTGGTGTGCAGGGGTGGATTCAGTCACCACCAACGACTGCCAGCTGCTGCAGCAGATGCGTTACCCCATCTGGCTTATTGTAAGGGCTCCTCTTCTCCCATCTCTAGTTCTCTTTAATCCTGTCCCTTTGGCTCTTATTTCCCTTCATCTACTATCCTTAGGGCTTTGGCCACTAACAGGAGGCTTTTCCTATTCCCATAGCCCCCTCAAACCTACTTAATGATATGGATCATTACCAATTCTGTCTCCACCCTGCTGCTTTTGTGGACCTTCCTTCTCCGAAGGTGAGTGCTTTGGGCCTCAGCGTTCTGGGTCTGTCCTTTCTCCAGGCCCTTGATTGTGAGGCTGATTCCCAAATTCACAAGTGCTGTCTGGACTTAGAGGTGTGGTCTTCCCCATTCTTGAAAAATTTTAGACCCATCCTTATTATACCAAATTGGCTTGAACCTGGGAAAGACAATTTGGAGCACCCCAGGGTGGAATGTCTTGCTACAAACTGGCTGAATTCATAATGGAAAACTTTTCTGTCTATAGGAGATGTGCTAAGGAAAATGAAAGAAATGGTAAGACAACCCCTCCCCCCCACTATGCACCTAATTTTCTCCTCCCAACTCAATCTCCTTGCTCACTTCCTACATGAGCCACCCTCTTCCCACCTTCGCAGGTTTAGAAACTGCAGTGCTGCTGACCAGAATCAATAATTTCAACATGGAGTGAATGCCCCATCCTGGTCCCTACCAGCTGGAATCTTAAGGCCTTGCCTTGGTCAAAGACAGGGGAAGAAGAAAGGCTAAAATGGAATATTATGGACTAATTGGTTGCAGTGTGTGTGGGGAGACTTTACTAACAGGAAGTTTTGCAGTTGGCATGCCTCAGCTGAAATGAAATCTACAGTTCTGGGGAGGGTGGGGGGAACTGATATGAAAAATTTGGGAAGCCTGTGAATGTGGAGAATTACCTCCCAAAACAAAGTTAAAATAAGGAAGTAAACAAGATAATGTTTCTTGTGCATTTCTTGATAACTTGTGGGCACATGTTCTTGGGTAGAAGGCATAGGGTGTTTCAAGGTGGGACAGCTTGGAACAGTGACCAAGGAGATGATGAAATGGGTTTTTCTGGAGAACTCTAAGTTGATGATGACAGTTCCACTCAATTTAGCTGCTTTCTTGCCTAAAGGCTACAAGCTAAATAGCCCATTTAGCCTTCTAATTCTCTGCCTACAGGTGGCTTTTTTTTTTTGCTGTGCCCAGCTTTTTCTTCTAGACTGGGTAGTTCCAATATCTTGTCTATTAATGTGTTACTAAGTGAACTTAAATCTCCCTCAGTCATAATCTAATCTTTCTGCTATGTGGGATGGGAGCATGCACCTTTCATTTTGTGTTGATATGACCTGACATTGAGGGGTCATGCTGCAAAGATTTTTGTTTTGGGAATAGCACCAACCAGCATATTGAAGGACTGCCACAGACAAGCTGCCCCAGGGGACATTCGTGGTGGCCTAGGCATGAAGTGCAGGGTTGCATTGTAGCTCCACCTTGTGGTTACCCGCCCCAAGAGGAGGTCCAAGTCCATAGTCACTGTGATATTTGCTGAATGTAACCTGTTTTCCAGATCGATTGAGTACTTGTGTCTTTCCTTGACTCTGAAATCTGATGGCACAGTCTGATTTCCATAAGTGTTCATTCCTCTGAATTGAGTTTCCGGCCTAGCATTCCTCTCAGCTAGCAAGTTCGCCAGTGTCCTTTGTTCGTGAGTCCCCAGGCTGAGACTGAGGAGGGCCAGTTTGAAGCTGGCTTAGGATAGGGGGTGAGGGAGTTAAGTCAAAAAACAAGGACAGGAAGGAACTCTGGCTTTACTATGGTCCTTCATTACTCTGAATTATGTTCTAGTTCGCGCCTCCACCCAAAGGCCAGTCAGATTAAGGCGCTGGGCAAGTCAGGAGACTCGATTCTAGCTCCCTTTGCACCTGCCAGACTAGGATCTGGGATAGTACTTAGCATCTCGGTGCCAGGGCAACCGCGAGAACTACAATTCCCAGGGTGCCTCAAAAACTTCCGGTCTCAAGATTGACAAGACTTTATGTTCCCGCCCCCACCGCCTTGCGGGCCCCGTTCCTTCTCTTCTCCATCTCGCCTCCTCCATGCACCTCGGCACGGGCACGCCCAGGCAGTGGTCCATACTGACATACCTGGCCTGCAGTTGGCACAGAGTGCGGAAGCCAGGGCACAGGATGTCTGGAGGCCCGAGGCTCAATGGAGACAACGCCGCGGCTGTTGCCCAGGTCCTGCTGTTCTTTGGGGGCTCTACGCCATCTTGCACCAGGCATTTCCTTGCTTTTCCCTGATTTCTGATTTCCCAGCCCCACTCCCATTCCCTCAGTCAGGCCGACTACTGACCTCAGCTCTGGAGTCCCCAGCCTGTCAGGTACTGCAGGGCTGTCATCTCTCAGCATGTACCTCCCCTCCCTACCTAATTTTTTCTATCCCCCATCATTCACACAGGCTCATAGCCCCTTCATTTCTTCCTTCCCCTTCCAACCTCACATTGGCCACCTCCAGCATCTCCACCTCCACCCACCTCAATCCACTTGCTCCCAAGCTCCTGGCTGAAGTTCTCTAACCTCAATGTCCATGCTCCACCAGAGTGCCAGCCCCCAGCCTTGATCCTTAGTCCTAGCCCCTGGCCTGGGTACTCAACCCTGAGCCCACCATTGCTACCCCAGGACGACCAGACCATCTAGGACTCCCTACACTGGAAACTGACAAAAAATAAACAAAAAAACCCTCCAGGTGGAGGGCCAGGGGGAGCTGCTATTGGGGTTCTGGTGCAGTTGCTCTTATTTTTAGCTGCTGACTCACACAGCTCCTGGCATCCAGGTTTGGGGCTAACAGGCTGGGCTGGGGGGATATTAATAGAGAGAAGGCACAGCCCCGACCCAGTTCAATTTGGAAACACAGAGATCAAGGAGCTTCCCCCTGCCATCCTGCCTGTAGACTGAGGCAGTGGCTGGGCCAAATGCTCTCTGGCTGCCAGATCTCTCAGCCTGGTAACACTGCCTTGGAACTCTTGAGGGAACTCCTGGGCACCACTCTCCACAAGCTTGCCATTCCTTTGGACTCTGCCACAGTGAATTTTCTGTTTTCCTGGCTAACAGGGCAGACGTGTGTTCTAATGGACAGGTTATTGTGACCATGGCCTTGGCCCACCTGGGCCCATTCCTGGGCCAGAATGCTAGTCTCATGGAAGGACACACTGTGGTATTCTGCTCCCCAAAGACCTTCATAGACATAAGGTGCTTTAGTATGATCCTAGCAGAGGGGGCACAGGCTATCAGGTCCCCAAACTAGACACAAAACTAGGAAGCTCTCTCTTTCTATTCTTTGTATTCTTGTTGGACAGTGTCTCTGCTCACAGCATCCTACAGACTCCATGATCTCTCCCTTCTCTGTAAAGAAACCTAATTCAGGCTGAGTTCTTGTGGCTCAAGCCTGTAATCCTAGCTACTCAGGAGACTGAGATCAGAAAATCACTGTTTGAAGCCAGCAGGGCAGAAAAGTCCATGAGACTCTCATCTCCAATTAATCACCAAAAAGTTGGAAAGTGGAGCTTGTGGCTCAAGTGGTAGGCAGCAGCCTTTGGACAAAAGTCAAATGAGAGCTTGATGCCCTGAGTTCAGCCCCAGTACTTATGCGCACATGTGCGCATGTGCACGCGCGCACGCGCACACACACACACACAATAGAAAGAGAAAACATAATTCATGAAAACCACTGAGAAAATTGTCCCCACTGAGCTATGAGTGATCCTTTATATATTCTCACTCCTATGGAGACTATTTTAATTAGCTAAAGCAGAAGCATTCCAATGAATACATTGGGAATGGTGGGCAAATAATAACACCTAACTGGACTAACCACCAAAATGCTTCCCACTTGATCCCAATTTGCTAGAATTCTTATTGACTAAGGATGCAGCAAACAAGGCCTCCCTCCACCCCCTTTCAAACAAGAAACTTCTTCCTTCTTCCTTCAAGGACCTGGGTCTCCAGCCCCCAGATAGAAACCACGTTTTAGGCAAGGGAGATTGTTTCTGAGCACACAAAGACTGAGGTCACCTGATGAAGCTCTATTTTCAAGAATGAGCTCAGATTATGAGACAGCAGAGAGCAGCCCCGCCCCTACCCTGTCTGTTTGCTGAGGGTGCGGGAGAGGCTGCGGAAGAAGAGAGAAAAAAATCCTCTCTCCTCGAAAATCTCTTCTCCGAACTGCATCGCTTCAGTCCAGGAGCAGACAGCCTGGTCGCCTAGCAACCACAGCTGCCTTCAGGGGAATGGGGGGGGGGAGAGACTGCTTTTGACCAGTAGGGGGCGCCTGTCTCTCTATGGCCTCGCTCTAGAGCCCTAGCAGTAGAGAGGGGTTTCCTTGATAAATGTCAAAGTCGCTAAGCTTTGCAGACCTCCTTCCAGGCTTGTCAGCCAGGTCTTCTGAGTGTGAGAGCGCCTGTGGAGCGGGAAGAAGTGGAGCGGGAAGATGCTCACTATGAATCGGATGGGAGTTTTCTTAAATTTACTAAAAAATGAAAAGAAGATGCTGGGCCTTGGTAGGTTAACACCTGTAATCCCAGCACGTAGGCAGGCTGAGCTACATAAGGAGGCTGTATTGGGGGAAAAAAAAAAGTGAAGGAATTGGAGGCATGTCTCAGTGCTAGTGGCTGCCTGGCAAATACAAAGCACCCCCCCCAAAAAAAAAGTGGGACTGGGAATGTACCTCAGATATATATACTGCTTGCCTGGCATAAGGCAAGGTCTTTGATTTGACCCCTCCTCTGCACCAGTACCACAAAAAGAGAGGGGAGGGGGTTCAGCAGAAGAGAGTAAGAGCAAAGAACCAAGGGGATAGGGCAGGATGAAATTGAGAGGAAAATAGTTTTTTCTCCATTCCCTACAATCTTAGCAATGGTTATGCCTCAATCAGAACAGTGCAGAAGATCCAGGCTTGTAAGGCCCTTCTTTCCTGAGTAGAAAGGAATCTGGCACTCTCTATCGTCAAATTATATTAAAAACTGTAAACTTTCCTGGCACTGGTGGCTCATGCCTGTATCCTAGCTACTCCTGAGGCTGAGATCTGACGGTTGATGTTCAAAACCAGCCTGGGCATGAACATCCATGACCCTGTTAGCTTCGATTAACCATCAAAAAACCTGAAGTGGAGATGTGAGGGTGTTGGCTTTGGACTGTAGTCCTTAGCTCTCAGCCTCTTGGAATAGCTAGGATTATGATGCCCAGTAATAATCTTCTTTTATGTACATCTCTCTGAAATACACTTTTCACAGATATTGTAATGATTCGTTTTCATATTTCTAGTTCTCTAACTTTGAGCACCTTGGAGGCAAGGCTTTCATCCAACTCTACTTAGACATTTAGTAGGCATCTCAAATTCAACATGTCTGTATCTAAACACCTGATCTTTATCCCCCACAATGACCTCTTCAAAAGTCATTCTTATCCCAGTCAATGGCAGATTCAATTTCTATGTTTCTCTGGTTAAAAAAAAAAAAGTAAAAACTTGAGGCTGGGTGCCGGTGGCTCACGCCTGTAATCCTAGCTATTCAGGAGGTTGAGATCTGAGGATCGTAGTTAAAAGCCAGCCTGGACAAGAAAGTCTGTGAGAGGGCTGGGAAGGTGGCTCAGTGGTAGAGCGCTTGCCTTGCATGCATGAGGCCCTGGGTTTGATTCCTCAGCACCACATAAGCAGAAAATAAAAAGCCGGAAGTGGTGCTGTGGCTCAAGTGATAGAGCGCTAGCCTTGAGCTGAAGAGCTGAGGGAACAGTGCCCAGGCCGAGTTCAGGCCCACGACCAGAACCCCCCCCCCAAAAAAAAAAGAAAGAAAAGAAAAGAAAAAGAAAGTCTGTGAGACTCTAATCTCCAGTTAACCACCAGAAAACCGGAAGTGGCACTAAGGCTCAAGTGGTAGAGTGCTAGCCTTGA